AATTTCTTTATTTTTATCATCTTCTTTTTTTTTATAAAACATTTTCCACTCTTTGGAAGTGGCCACTGAAGGAGTTTTTTCCTTTTGTCTTCTCTTTATTGGTGCTTTAGTATCTTCTGGCCAAAAAAGAGACTTTTTAAAAGGCGAAGGAATTGTTGAATCCAATAAATTTTCGTTAGAAGCACCTTTATCAAAGATCTGCTGTTCAGTATTTTTTTTAAAGGCGAAGGAATTGTTGAATCCAATAAATTTTCGTTAGAAGCACCTTTATCAAAGGTCTGCTGTTCAGTATTTTTTTTTAAAGGCGAAGGAATTGTTGAATCCAATAAATTTTCGTTAGAAGCACCTTTATCAAAGGTCTGCTGTTCAGTATTTTTTTCACTATTATAATTTTCTATCTTTTTTTCATTTAAATTTTTATTGTTTTCTTCTTGAAAGGTTTGAGTTTCTTCTATTATTTGGAAGTTTTCTTTGTTTTGATTATTATCTTCACAGTCATTCACATTGCAAGCACTAACACAGGTATTTGGATGGGATATAATAACGGAATAGAGTTTTTCTTTTATGTCAGTTTCATTAACTGATTCTATATTTATTGGTGTTTCATTTATGTTTATGTTCGTAACGTCGATGAGATTAGTAACATCCAGATCTTGATCTTGACCTGGAAAATGGTCAAATAGGTCGTAATTGTCATCATTTGGGTCGCAACTGTCAGCGTTTAGGTCAATATCGTCGGCTTCTGAGTTTGTTGGATGTTCTGGGTCTTCTTCAGTATCTGCTGTTATATGTCTCATGTTTGGTAGATTTAATCGTGTTTTGATCGACTTCCATAAATTAAATAAACTCAAATCTTCTTTGGGTCCATCCCATGTTTGCCCAGCTAATTTAAAAGCATCGACTTTTAAAGAGATTTCTTGTTCTAAAATCTTTAAAAACATAGCTAAATCCTGGTCATTGTCATTGTTAGAAATATGTTGAATATTTTTTGAAATGGTTTTAAAATACTTCTCGTAATTTATATTTTCAGGATTGAGTGGATAAATACCACACGTTTTAAATCCATTCTTTATTATGGTTGGCAAATTTTTTAAATTATCTAAAGTTGTTTTTAAAAGTTGCGCAAACATATCTCGACCTAATCGACGACCATTATTGGTGATTCGCCATTGTGAAATAACTTTTTTCCATTCAGCCTTTAGTGGTCTAAATACAGCCACATCTAATGGCTGTAAAATATGGGTTGAATTTGGAAATAAAGATATTAAAATTATTTCATTTTTTGATGCAAAATCGCTTGACGCCATTGTTAAATGGGATGTGTGCCCATCCATAAATAATATGACCGGTTTTTTTATATCATTGGTTATTAACCAAGGGTTAAAAACATTTGCCAAAAATTCAAAAAAGGTCTCCCCAGTCATCCAACCTGAATCGCTTCTTCCAATTCCCCAGTCATCAGGTACTTTGTCAGCAATACATTTTGGAACTCTTTTATAACTATAGACTATCATTGGGGGTAAAATTAAACCAGATGCAGATATAGTTACCAAGGTGGTGAGACACTCTTTTTCATCATTATTTATGAAGTTATAGACGGCTTTCTCACCCTTTTTCACTAACACTTTATCATTTTTCGGACTTAAAAGAAATGCAGTTTCGTCGCAGTTAAAAACTCTTTTATCATCTTCTAGTATTTCTATATAATTATTGTCTGTAAGATATCCTGTTATTTCTGAAAACCATCTTTTTATTTTTTCTTCACTAACTTGAGCCCTGGAATTGGTTAAATTTTGAGAAACCCTTGCACTAAGTTCCGGATGTCTTTTAAAAAATCCTTCCATCCATTTGCGCCCTGGTCGTCCATTTAAAAAATTGTTTGGCCTATTAAGATTTTTTACCAAAATAGACACACTGTCAACTAGCTGGATTTTTGTTATGGGAAATCCACTCCTAGCAACATGAAACATCCATTGAATTAAAAGTTCTTCCTCTTCCTTGCTTAAAACAGTTTCGAAACTAAATTTTCTCTCAAGTGGAACTCTTCCATTTACCTTGTCCCCCAAGGTGGTGCGAGGAACCTTAAATTCTTTGTGGGCCCGAAAAATTGTAAGGCGGCCACTTTGAACGGCTGCGACTGCCAATTTCATAGCTTCTTCTGTGTACTGTAATCTTTTTATCCCACTCATCCTTAAAAGAAAAATTTCTTATTATCGACATAATATAGTTCTTAATACCGACACCCAATAAAAACAATGTATTTTTAGGGTTTCAAAGATATAAATCAATATGGCGATAATAGGTCAATTTATTTATTAATGTTTTCATGTTAACTATATTCAATATTTTAATCAATATCTTAATAAACCATTTTTTATTCACACTAAAAAAAAAATATTACATTGGATTTAATATCGACACATACTGTCGATATTAGGAAAACCCTTATTATTTTCGTACCTAATATCGACACGGTTAAATTATTTAAAAATTAACGTTTTTTTTTACATTTTTATATAAAAGTAAGCTAAATTATTCATTTCTTATACATTACAATAAACTTTAATGCAAACAAAATAATATTATTAACAATAAACGGATGTTAAACTTACCTGGTTCCTTACCGATTTGCTAAGAATGTGGACTGTTCTGTTGATGTTCGCAAACTGCCATTTTTATTCGCGCGCGAAAAATATAAGCATGGCCACCATTAAATAACCAAACAAACAAAATAACCAAACAAGGATTTTATGTTGGTATGACATTAAATACAGGTTTCTTTTCCCTACAGAAATCTTATTTTATCGAAATAACTAGCACAATGTATGAAAAACTGCCGATACTAGGAACAGGGTCGATATTAGGAGCGTTTACCTTACAAGTTCATATAAACTTTACTTTTTATTTTTGGTAATTCTATAGGTACACCATTAAATTTCCTTGTGACATCAAATATGACTTATTGAAGTAGTTTTGTAGTAGGAAATGATATTAAAAATTTTGACGATATTTTATTTTTAACTTTATTATTTATTTTTGGTAAGAAACATAAATTTTAAAAATTCCAAAAGTAAATTATTTTTTTAATGAAAATATTAATTTTTTATTTTATGTACCTAGCGGAATACCCTTAAGGGTGAAAGTGAAAAAGGCGATTTTTCTGGCCTTGCGGTCATTTTCATTATAAAATTGGTATTTTTTTCTGAAAGCTGAGAATTTTTTACACAAAATATGTAATTTTTACGATGGGGTTATTTTTATTATAAATACCATTAAATAATTTGACGATTCACTACGGCAAAACACTAAGTCTTTTTGCTTTATTTAAATAGTGCTAAATCTTGCAATTGAGATTATTTCGAATTATTTTTTCTACAAGCATAGGTACGAAAAGTTGCTACTTTTTAGACAAAATGTGTTTTTCTACAAATTGAAACTTGCGAGATTTCCTTGTAGAAAAAATAGTGTGCATAACACGCGCGGAAAGTATCGGAGGAGAGTATGAGGACCAATTTTAGTACTGATTTCCCCCCTCGAATCATTTAATTTTTATTTCAAACATTTTTTCATAACTAACTGAGATATTTCAAAGTTTCAAGTTAAATGACTCACCCTGTATATAGTAGTTTACATATATCTACCTACAAAAAATATTTAAAAATATTGAACAAACAAAAAACTTTTTCTGGAAAAATTTTAATTATTTTACAAACTTTACATGTTTATACCTATAGGTTTAAATATTTAAAATCAAATCTAACAATACAAAACAATTGGGAAAAAACTTTTTATATTTGAATTAACGATGTTTCAAACTTCTGAATCAGCTTAGGTTTATATTACTTTTTCAAGGGAAAGTTATAATTAAAACTTAATATTTTATACTTGGGATCCTCATCTAGGGCACACAAGTGGCAAACAAATTCAGTGTTTGTGGGTGGTAATGCAACCAAACCAACGCAAGACAAATGAAACAACTTTATTTTGCACTAAAACGAATAAATTCCGTTTTTTAGCATTCCTATTTAAAATAAATAAAAAAACTTACATTTGGACCTCCGCATGAAACCATCACATCTTTTTTAAAATTATTTCTGCAAATGCAATAAAAATTTAGGTCTTTAGCCATTTTAGACGTCTGCAACCAAACTAAAAAATACCTAATTTTAGATTAAATTGTAATAATTAAACGTTGGGATAAATTTCGTTGGAAAAAATATGGCGGGAGTAAGTAATAAAATAGTTTGGGGAATGTAGGTATATTTTGGGAAAATGTATAAAGTATTTAAGAAAAACTTACTTTATGCTTATAATTTCTATTAAATCACTTTTTTTAAGAAAACAGAATGGAAAACAGCCTGCTGCTACAGAACGCCTGCGTAACCGATTTCAAGATGGCCGAGTTTGATTTAAAACAAGTGCGCATGACTGTACATGGAAAAAGGCGGCAAATTTAAAATTTTAGTTGATTTTCGTTGTTTTGTTATAAAAACATAAATATTTTACTTAACTAGGTATAAATTATTTCTATAATAATAGATTTTATGGATTAGGTAGCGTCCAATCACGTGACGCTAAAAATGGTCAAAATTGACAACCTTCCCCTCCCTCGTATCAGAATGTGACGATGTAAAGACCCCCCGAAGGGTCATGTCACGAATAATCAAATACCTCTACCCCATAAAAATAATTTTACGATTTTTTTTGTAATAATCTAAAAATGATACAAATAAGCAATTTTGACGGTCCTTCAAACACCCCTTCCCCCTTCAGCGAGATTTATTCCAAGTTGGCAAGCACAATACAAATAAAAACTGAGCACTTTTAGTATACAATATGCGGATATTTTAATTTTTTTAGGCGGAATTTTAACTTTTAGCAGATGTTTTTAATAAAACAAACAGGAAATATTTAAAACTTTTATTTTCATTTAAAATACATTGTATCTCAAACATTTCTCTAAAATACATAACAATATCATTCTTTTAAATAAACATACTCAATAAAACACTTTGAGATCCAACGATCGTGATTAAATCATATAAAAATAGGTAAGAAATATTATAAATAAATAATTTATAGGTACATTTATACTCTCAAACGTATATACATAACATTAAATGAGCTTATAAAACAAATGGAATGAATTGCCTAATATGTCTACTATCATTATTTTTTCTTTCGATCTTGAATACACTTGGGACAATACCATTTTCCTTTCGGTTTTGTCGTTAAGCCGACGCACGCAAAATGGAACCACTCAATGGGACACTACAAAAATATATTTAAAGCATCAAAACACAAATTTTAAGGAAATTATAAACTTACATCAGGATTGTCACAGCCTATCATTTCACCATAAGAAACCTGGTGACATAGACAGTATGTGGGTTCATTTGGATCCACAGGCATGTCCAAAACATCGCTTGGATGAGTCAGACCAGGCAGTACAGAGGCCACAACGTCTGCAACTAAACAACAAAAATATAAAGAATGACTCCTTTGTAAAAAGAACAAGTACTTGAGTACCACAGATCTGAATAAATACAATATTAAATTTAAATGAATGTGAATGAAGGTATAATGAAAATGAATGATACAGACCCTCACCTGAAGTAGTCTTTGCCCCACTTCCAGTATTATTGCTTGTTGTATTCCCTGTTCCCGACTTTTGTTTCTTCTTTTTCCCACCCCTATTTGTACCAGCTGAATCTTCTTCACTCGAGTTACCAGACCTCTTCTTCTTCTCTGTTTTGCCATCTTTAAGCTTCTTTCTACCTTCTAAAATATTACAATATCAATGTAACTAATTATGTTTAAGAATTATTATATTATAATTACTTTTGCCCACAGATGGTTCATCCTGGTTCCTGGAGTTCTGGGCTTTATCCTGTATTTCAGTTTCAAACCTAGCTAAATCATTATCTAATCGTCTAATATGTTTATCTACTAATTCATAAGTTTGTATTGCTAATTGCACTTTGTCATCTCCATATTCCTAAAACATTAAGTCAAAACCACAAACCTTACTTAAAAACAAAAAATAACCTTTGCTTTATTGAACAGGCTCTGAATTTTCTCCAACTGCTCCTTTTTTTGGTCAGAAGTCAAAGTTTTCTGATTTCTCAAATACTCATCGGCCAGAGAATCAATATTTTTCATCAAAGTTTGAGCTCTAGAGTCCAAATCCCTCATTAAAGTGAAATTTCTTTGCAATTCGTTTGGTAAATGTTCTAAACCTACAAATCGGAAACATTTCGTAAATAAATCGAAATTATCCCATACTTTACACTTACTGTCTAAATAGTGTTCGAGATATAGTGCTGAAGTCATCGTAATAAGTAAAACTAACTAAAAAATTGTCAATAAACACTAATAATCACGTTTATAGTAAAACAGCAGTTTATTTTTGTTGTTAAATTGTTTAAGAATTGTTGACAAATTCGCTTGACAGTTTTGATGCGTCACAGTAATTTGGTCACTGACATCTATCGACAATATTATGTACCAAAATTATAGAATTTAAAATTTTTAAATTAAATAAACCAATATTCCCTTTAATTAATAAAAATTATCGTATAAAAGTAAATATCCTGCGTTCCTTTTTCGCCCATAATTACAAAAGAGTATTGAAAAAAGCCTAATGCAAAGGTCATTGACTTATATTTTCCAAAGATGGCGCTATAAACTTTACCGGTATAATTTTTAATATTCCGAAATAGATTATCGTGATTTCAATATTTTGCACGATAAATATTAAATTAAATTTGGCATCAGAATAATAAACATTTTTTTTTTATTTTGGGAATAAAACAAACGTTTTTAATGAATATTATTCATTGAATATACAACGTATGTAAATGACGAGGTATTTAAAGTGAATTAAAAATAAACATTTTTATGTGACATAGGTCATTTATTTTTAGCCAATCACAAAAGCTTTTGTTTGTTGTTGACTGACGTTTTATATTTTGCTATGTTGTTTTAGGTTAGAATAAAATGACAAAATTTGTTTAGTGCTTCAGTTTAGGGTGGCATCAAAGTCTTGAAAGAACTTTAGAATATTAAAAATGAAGGTGACTGTCACTACACTGACCGATTTCATATTCGTTTTGGACGTTTCTGATGAGTTGGAGTTGGAGAATTTTAAGGCATTTTGCGAAATCGAATCGGGATTTCCTGCCTCTGAAATCGCTATCAACTTTAACGGTATGCCCTTGTTAGACAATAAAAAATCCCTAAAAGATCATGGAATTAGGGATGGGGATGCTGTTGTTTTACAACATATGCAATCTGGTTCTCAAGCCAATGTAGATCAACCAAATGCATCTGGTAAGGATATTATTCATTATTAGAATAGAATAAAATAAGTAAAATTTATGAGACCAGCAACTGCTGTTTTGGAAAATTATTCATTATGTATTATGTGTATAAATATTTATAAAAAAAATGTGCCTTAAGGCATAATAATATAATATAATTATACTGTGATATTTATTTATTTGAATAAACGTTTAAAAAAATAATAATTTAAAAAAAATGCCTATTATTACTGTTTTAAGTCTTGATTTTAAATAGGTTGTAAATGTTAAAAATTAGATAAAACTGGAGAATGTTGACTACAAGAACATCTATTCTATAGAGTGTTCTTGGTCACTAACTAAATTCTCCTTAGGTACTTGTCAAAATACAATCCAAAATTTTATGTCAGATTTTTTCATCATTTTTCCTAATACTTTCTGAAATATCAACTAAAGAATGAAGAACAGAACTAAAGTGTAGGTATATTAATTTGTTATTTTACCTTCTAGTGACTAGTTTTGACTTCAGCAATATTGAAATACCAAATAGTCGAAGACCCACAGAAGATGACCCTGTTTTAATTAGAGACATGTTTCTTGCCAACCCAGACCAATTAGCTCTCCTAAAGCAGAACAATCCCAGATTGGCTGATGCTCTCCTAAGTGGAAATATAGGTACTTATATTATAAACAATAACAAATAAAAAAAACAACTAATAATGTTATTTTAGATAATTTTGCGTCTGTACTAAGAGAACAAGTGTCTGCTAGGCAAGAAAGAGAACAACAAAGATTAAGAATGATTAATGCAGATCCTTTTGATACAGAAGCGCAAAGGCTTATTGCTGAAGAAATTAGGCAAAAAAATATTGAAGCCAACATGGAAGCTGCCATGGAATACAATCCAGAATCGTTTGGAACTGTTGTGATGTTGTATATTAACTGTACTGTAAATGGGTATCCTGTCAAAGCGTTTATAGATTCAGGTAATATAATAATAATTTTCTTATAGCTTTATGGGCACTCAATGTTCTATTCCTTCTTAAACTATCTAAAAAGCATCAGTTTTATTAAATTTTGAAAATGGTAATCCTGAAATAAAGATACTGAGATTGTGGGGTCTATAATCTCAGGGTAGCTTGTAACCATACCTAAGATACTAAATGTTATCCTCCTCTTACTAAACTATCTAAATTTTGTAAAAAAACAAGAATTTGAAAAATAAAACATTAATTTTTACGGTAAAATGTCTTTTTAGTATCTTTACTTTTGAGGATAACTTCTTATATCTCTACAGATATTAAATTTTCTATTCTTCTTACTAAACTATCTAAAAATGTTTTACTTTTATGAAATTTAGAAATAGGTATTTTTTTAGACTTCAAAGTCTATAATCCCAGGGTAGCTAACTTATAGACACTTGTCTATGGTTTAATAATATACTTTGTTGCAGGGGCACAAACAACAATTATGTCAAGTAAATGTGCAGAAAGATGTAACATTATGAGACTGGTGGACACAAGATGGGCCGGCATAGCTAAAGGTGTGGGGGTGCAAAAAATCATTGGAAGAATTCACATGGTGCAAATACAAATTGAGAACATATTTTTAACCACCAGTTTTTCTGTGCTGGAAGAACAACCAATGGACATGCTTCTAGGCTTGGACATGTTAAAAAGACACCAGGTATTTTATTAATATTTCGATTTTTAATGTTATTAAGTTAATTTTTTTTGTAGTGTTGCATAGATTTGCACAAAAACGTGCTGAGAATCGGAACTACTGGGACTGAGACTACATTTTTATCGGAAAGAGACTTGCCCGAGTGCGCAAGACTGAGCACCGTTTCCGAAGAGGAAATAATGCAAAAATCCAGGAGAGAGGTGGAAGAAAAAGACTTACAAGCTGCCCTTCAAAAAAGCAAAGAAATTGGTAAGTGACCTATTACACTTATTACATTATTTTATATTATCATCCTTGCTACATTTTTTATAATTCACTTTAAGAATTTTTTGGGAATATTGCTGTACTAATATTATTTTAAATAGTTACATAGTTTTTACTTATGCAGTAAATTATAAAACAATTGGGGGTTTGCATTAACTAAGAAGTCTTTTTTTTAATTAAAAACATAAACTGTTCTTCAAAAATATTTCAATTTCGTAAAAAGTGTGTTAATTGTCAAATTTCTTCAAATTTAAAATTCTTTGCCTTCATGGTAACTTTATGGTTCGTTTTTAAATTTAGAGCAATGTTCCCAGATGTAAATTATTTACATTTTTTAATAAATTAATATACAGTTAATTTTTTTTATCTGGTTAGGTTGGTGGCTTATGCCAGTTTGACTTAGTATTTTTAGTATTTAAAAATGGTACTTCTGCTAAAGAATTTAATTAAATACTTTGACACTGTCGAATTGACAATAATATTTATTATTGATAATTTACTTGTCAATTATAAATAAAAAGATAATTATGCCAAAAATAATAGCAACGAATTCGAATGTAAAAGCCCTTTTGAGGGCAAAACTTCATTTTGATGAAATTATGCCAAATGCCACAATGGAAGAAAAAGTACATCGTCTTATGGACATTTTTGGAGTAAAAAAGTAACGAATTTGGTTTTATAAATATTACATCACCCATTATTTTCACATTATTCACCATTGGACAACATTTACGTTCACAAAAATTTTTAATTTCTTTTATATAAATTCTTTTCAAAGCGAAGATTATTATCCTCTAGGAATACTTTCTCTTCTGGGCCGTAAAGCAACCTATATTTAACTACTTTTTTATATGATTTTACTCATCCAAGCACCACCAAAGCCAAATTAATTGCATTTTTAACTACGAATTTCGACAACTCAACTTGACAACTGCACAATGTAACCTACAATAATTTATACATAACCGCAATTAGATTTATAACTAGCTTAGTTTGTTTTAATCAATGCGACCAACTTGACAACTGTATTTACCAACCAAAACCCTAAATTTGCAACGTTGCCGCAGTCCAGATAAAAAAAATGAACTTAACACTCAAAACTATTTTACATTTTTTTTACAAACATTTATATTTTAAACACTAATAACAATTTCCTGGGTCCAACAATTATCAAAAAATAAATGTTGACCAAAATAATGTCAAAACTGGCCAAACCCCCAAAAGATTGTAAATATTTGTAACATTCTATTTACCTCCTTAAAAGTTTAATAATTTGACTGGCATCAATATGCAAAGTCAAAAACAATTTGGTTAATTCTAAAATGTTTTTGTTATCCATTCCCAGCCGACAAAGAGCCCCAAATGTCCCACTCGTCCCGCCAAAATCATCATCGCGATCACGATCGAAGCAACCCGAACGCAAAAAGACCTCATCACTAAATCTTGTCTCTATAATAATTTTATGCTGTATTACGTTGCAAAATAATATTCCGCTTTGAATTAAAAATGCTTTTATTATTCCTTAGAGACAAAATCAAATTCTCGGCATTGCAAACACCACCACCATCAGCATTGCATTAAGCACCACCACCATCACAGAAGCAAAACCCCTTTTACAAGCCACGCCAAGTAACTGCCCCCCACGTCCCCACCCCTGAATTTCTTCCGCAAGATGTCATGTTTCATTTTTGTTTTACTTTTATTAGGCAATAAAGTTATTTTTTTCGGTCTAAAAACTTTATTTCAGATTTATGTTTGTTTTCATTATTTTTTTTTAATCCAAGTCGCCATAAGTTTTATCTGTCAAAAAAACAACATAAAATTTTGAAAATAATTTTGGTTATAGTGTAATATTCATATTTAAATTAGTGTGCCTTGAAAAATTCATCAAAATTGATAGTTTTTTTCATGGAGCCTACACAAGGAGCCCGAACTTAATGGGAAAATTGACAAAACGGCCATTTCAAGCGGATGGACGGGACAAATCACAAATCTGTTTTTATAAAAAAAATTGTAGGTAATTTATTATATATTATTTTTGCATCAAAATTGTCAAATATATTCTTCTATTATTAGGCTATACATTAAATAAAAAAAATCGCAAGAAATATTTTATAAAGTAGAGATAATTTCAATAATTGACAGGGTGGACGGGACAAGATAAATCTTTTTTTTGTCCCGTCCACACCATTCAATTATTTAAATTATATCTACTTTCATAAAATATTTCTTGCGTTTTTTTTATTTAATGTATAACCTAATAAAAGAAGAATATTTTTGACAATTTTGATGCCAAAATATTATATAATAAATAATCTACAATTGTTTTTATAAAAACAGTTTTGTAATTCGTGCGTTTCGCGCGCTTGAAATGGCCGAAAACCTGCCCTCTAAATTGCACAAATTAAGTCTTTTTTTTTCACCACCAGCAGCGCTGATTGTTGATGCGTCCTGACGTCTGCTCTTTTGGTAGAGTTTCGGTGCAAATTAGTCAATTATTTCAGAATAAACGGGACACCAGCGCCTACTTTCCTTACGAAGATTCTTGTTTACATGCAGTTCGGACTCCTTGTGTAGGCTCCATGGTTTTTTTTATTCGGAATTTGACACATTTGATTATGTTGGTATTGTATGTTAGAATACTTTGGTATTTTTAATATTTAAAATTGGTACTCCTGTTTAAGCCCTTAATTTTAAATACTTGACATTTGTCATTTAACTGTCAGAATTATAATAAACACTTATGTTCTGTGAATAAACATCACATACTTGGAAGTATGTGATAAACATATAGTCGCGGCTAAATCTGCATGTGGTGTATTTGACGCTGGGCATGCAAATTTGCCTCTTTTGGCCTGTAAAGTCAGCTATATTTCATGAACGGTAGAGTTAATGCATTTTTTAACAACTTAATTTGACATTTTAAAATTTATAAATATCTTTAAAAAATCTTAGATCATATATCACTGGACGCGTAAACCAACACGATTTGTGGCTCCAAAATGTGTTTTTACAGTTGTTCGCTTTTTTTTATTGTTTTGGGTCGAAAACAATGGTAAAAACGTGAATGGTTGTTTTAAAAAATACAGCGAAATGAGACAAAAATATTTTAAGTCCTCTGATTTCGACGACATGTTTTTATTTTACCAATAATTTAATATTGGATCTTAATTATACTTATATACAATTTTGTAAGGATAAATTTTAATTTTATCAATTTATAATACTTAAGTTTTCATATTTTCTTATATTTCTCTTGAAACCGCTACGCCACTGTACGGTACATCTTGGAGACACACAAACGCAATGATTTTGACGCACATTACACGTCCAGGACCTGGACTCCAGGTCCAGGTATAAGCTTATAATTATAATATAATCACAATTATATTCTCCACTAAACTATAGTCGTCGCGGCGAATGTTTCAAATTGCGTCATCAAATTCCGAACCAAGCACAGACATTACAATTATTGTTGTTTTCTTTTAAGTCTTTTAATCTAAGGAACCGCTAGGTTAACCCTATGTCGAGAAATCGGTTTTTGGCATTCGACATTGATGACGCAATTTGAAACATTCGCCGTGACGACTATAGTTTGTTCTACTCAATGTAGTCAATTATAAATTAAGGGTCCCTGAAATTATCCAACTAAACCCCCAAATTTTTGACATTGTCAAATTCCGTATAAAAAGACGAACTATACAGGGTGTTATGTAATTAATGTTATATATAAAAATGGGTTGTTCCTTAGGGTCCATAAAGAAGCACCTGAAACTTTTTTTTTCAAAATTTCAGTTTAAAAATAATTTATAATAACCTTTATCCTACCAAAAAGTACGCCACTGATCTAGGAACTTTAGGTTAATCTGGTGGATTTATTATGTTATAGTTGGTAAACAGTGTTTCCAAAATCTCTCAAAAAAGTTGACAAACATTGTTTAAATTTAGCTTAATTACAAAAATGACAAAATTAACTGTGCAAATTGTGAATTTGGCGTTTTTATTAATTGTTGGTTATGTCATTTTTGTACTGAAGGTAAATTCAAACAAAATCTGCCAACTTTTATGGCAGAATCTAGTGCATTTCTTTCAAATTTTAGGTTATGTGCTCAAATTGTAAATATCTTAACTAAGGGAAGTGCTTTTGGATTTATTTACACAAATTAAATGTTTAAAGTTTAACCTGTGAACTGGTCCCAATTTCCTCTGAGTAAACAGAAAGAAAAAATCTGATGAAAAAATTAATTTTGTGGTTATGGATTTTTTAAAATAGGTACTAAATTTTCTAATCATTGCTTAAGCTAATAGCTGGATGAGTAAATAAATACAGAAGGGTGTTAGAGCTTTAAGGGCATAAAACTGTTGTATTTATTGATTTTTATTTATTTTTTGGAAGAAAAATTTTTAGTAACAATTTTTTACATCTGGCAACGCATAGCTACTTTGTTGGTTGGTATCTATGTAGTCACAGAATACAAGTTTGCAGAGATAAACCAAGTGTGTAACCAGTGGCGTATTACAAAAAATATACAAAACTTCTAATGCATATTTTTTCTTTATCTTTGGAAAAATATTTTTTTAAATATTTTTCCTTTATTCTTTATGTCAAAAGGTATTCAGTATTTTAATATATAACATTAATTACATAACACCCTGTATAAACAGAAAAGTAACGATTTTTATTTTTTGGCGCCCAACTTATTAAAATCGTTATAACATTTTTAACGCGATTTTAAGAAAAATTTCAGGGTTTACTTTTGTTTACAAAATAAGATGGCATTCATTGTTTTTTTGACGCTTTTTATTCTATAAAAATGCCAAGTAACGTGTTTCAATGATTGCAGCTTCATCTGGATCGACTTCGACTTCGGTAGGCTCTAATCCGAATAGTAGTCAGATAGACCCCGCCACCGATAAATTCACGGATTTGGACGTGAACGAGTTGTGCGGTTTGGGTTTCACTCGCGAACAGGTGCTCTTCGAACTGCGCCGATTTAACGGCGACAAGACACAGGCGACCGCCGCCCTTTTCGCAAAGTCACTCAAGTTTTAACTACCCGCTTATGTTATAGAGAAAGTATGTGTTACATTAGTTTTTTACGCACAAAACTTTGTATAAACTAAGAACTCACCCAGTCGTGTGATACTTCCTTTATATGGAAAATTAATTTTAGCGCCGGGGCTATACTCAATACATATTAGTTTTATAAGCTCGGGAAGTGCCCAGCACTTTTGGACATCTTGGCGGTTAAAACATAATTAATTTAGTTCCGGCGATGGATCTGGTTTTTCCTATGTAACATTTGTTGTTTAGGTACTATTTTATTAGTTTCGACTAAGTAAGTTTTTTTATATTCCTCTTATGTTTAAGAATAATCGGTTTATAAAATTTATTACAATAATTATTAATTATTAAGATTCTGTTTTGGTATCAGAAAAAAAGGGAAATAAATTTAATCGTCTACAATATTACTATAATTTTATTTAATGATCCTGCCTTAGACAAGGTAAGTCTATATATAGATTCTGCAGTGTTTTTTATGTTTGTTTGATACGGTATATATCATGATACAAATCTTCGTATCATGGGTATATACGATCACGGACCCAATTTCTTTATAAAATTAAACTTAACAAAATTATTATTTATTATTCCATATTATAAAAATAAGACTATAGTCTATACACTTATTTCAAATATGCAAATCCAAAACAATCGTTATTTTACAATTAAAGAATTATTTTTTGTGTGCAGTTCTGTTTGTTTTAAAGAAATTACCTAGTAGGTACTATGCTCCACACCTCAAAGTCCCACCACGTGACCACGTACGGAACGCAGTCTTTTGAAAATTTGGCATTTAAGGCTTTTCAGGTTTATGTACCTTTCAAAGTATAGTCAACGAAAGAAATAATATTATGTTTAGGCGTTAAAAATGTATAAATCTTTGTAACATTACTATAACAATGGATGTTTTAAGAATTTAAGAATATAAATACTGCATTTAATGAAATTCTGAAGTGTATGGTGCCAAATAAGTAATATTTTTGGGCATTTGGTCCAAATATCTGGTTTTCTCCATAAAATAATTTTAACTAAACAGCATTTATTAAAAAAAATCTAGCTTCTCTATTATGAAATAAGAATATCTGTTTTAAAGGTAGGTTAATATATTATAACAAAAATATCATCTAATTTTGTAATTTTAAGGTTGGAAAAATTTATTTCGACCAAAATAAATAAGTATTTTGGATTATTTAAAAGACTGTATAATAAGGTATTTAAAAATGTGGTCGTTTTTCTTATCCAGCTTAAAGTGTACCTACATAAAGTTTTGTCAATACAAATAGTTAAAAAGCTTCGCCTGAACTTCATCTACATCGAAAAATCATTATAACTTTAAAAATTTTAATAAATGACATGTCATGGGAGTATTAAATATTTTCACATTGCAAGTTTCTCTAAAAATTGTTTGTTTTCTTATAATCTAACTTAAAGTAGGTATGCTGAGAGGTATGCACAAGTTTTGTCATTAGGGGTATAAAAGCTTCAATTTAATTTGAATCATATTCAACAATTATTTAGTATAAGTACCTATATTTACACATATTGACACACTTTTCTAAATAATCCACTTATTTATTTTGGTCAAAATATATTTTTCTAACCTTAAAATACAAAATTAGATGATATTTTTTGTTCTAATACATGAACCTACCTTTGATACAAATATTCTTATTTCATAATAGAGAAGTTAGATTTTTTTAATAAATGCTGTTTAGTTAAAACTATTTCATGGAGAAATGTGCACCTTACACTTTGGAATTTCATTAAATGCTGTATTTATATTCCTAAATTCTTAAACCAACCATTGTTATTGTGATATTATAAAGATTTATTAACTTTTAAAAATAAGCGGTAACACTATAAATATTATTTCTTTCATTTACTATACTTTGACAGATACATAACCTGAAAAGCCTTAAATGCCAAATTTTCAAAAGACTGCGTTCCGTACGTGGTCACGTGGTGGGACTTTGAGGTGTGGAGCATAGTACATATTGTTCTGTTGATTTTGATAGAAAATATACTTATGAATTGTCTTCTGCTTATGCAAAAATTACCTCTTAAAAGCATGATAATCCATAATTTTTGTTGCAAAGCTATGTACGTCACAGTTTCGACGCAGGAGTAGGGGCTACAATCCCACCTGAGATAGAGTTATCCGTAGTATGAAACCTACTTAGGTAAGTACATTTATCCTTACTAATACACGAAGCAACTGATCCACGGATCAACGTAATTTTTGGCAAAGAGATAGTTTATTAGACCAGGGTCGATAATTTTTGAAACAAAAAAAAATAACAGTAGGATGAAACCCATTGGAAAAGGAGAAGAATATATTAAAAATGAAAGGAAAAATAAATTACGGGCGATCTGACTTCGGGAAGTGGGAGGGGGGGGGGTTTTAAGGGTAAAAAAATGGTTCATCTGGATTTCCGGCAAAACAACAAGTCCTATGGAAAAAAGTTGAATGGCAAAGTTGTAAGTAATAAAAGGATCTACAACTTTTGTAATTACAATTTTTTTACATAACCTCAAAATTTATGTGAAAAATTCAAAAAACCAAGTTTTTGGTTTTTTATTTTTGTCTTTTTCAAAAAAAAAAATTTTTCCACGAAATTTGCTGTAAACTTACCTTTTTATGTCCCAAATACACTGTAATTTATTTGATTTGAAATATTTATTATTTCGCCTTATTTTGACTTAATATCAAAAAAGCACCATAATTTTCCATCGAAAATTCTCGCGTCAAAATATCAGCTTTTTTCAAAAAGTCGCTGTGCTTTTTGTTTGTTAAAATCTCTACTTTCTGGTGGTGTAAAAAAATATACATTACTATGGTAAATGTTCTCAGAAAATGCAAAAAATATTATAATGAATAACGAAAAAAACTCGAATTCGAAAATTTATTTTAATCATTATGTACAATTTCATCAAAAAAATGTGATTGTTGCAATTTTTTTTAGTTAAAAAGTTTATTTATTAAATTCTAATAACATTTATGTCAGAAAATCTCATAAAATATAAAAATACATGTAAATCATACTATTGAATTTAGATACTTCATTCTGATTACGTTATTCATTATAATATTTTTTGTATTTTCTGAGAACATTTACCATAGTAATGTATATATTTTTTTACACCATCAGAAAGTATAGAGTTCATCGAACAAAAAGCACACCGACTTTTTGAAAAAAGCTGATATTTTGACGCGAGAATTTTCGATTGAAAATTAGGGTGCTTTTTTGATATTAAGTCAAAATAAGGCGAAATAATAAATATTTCAAATCAAATAAATTACAGTATATTTGGGACATAAAAAGGTAAGTTTTCACCAAATTTCGTGGAAAATTTTTTTTTGAAAAAGATAAAAATAAAAAACCAAAAACTTGGTTTTTTGAATTTTTCACATAAATTTTGAGGTTATGTGAAAAAATTGTAAATACAAAAGTTGTAGATCCTTTTATTACCTACAACTTTGACATTTAACTTTTTTCCATAGGACTTGTAGTTTTGCCGGAAATCGAGATAAACCATTTTTTACCCTTAAAACCGCCCCCCTCCCACTTCCCGAACTCAGATCGCCCGTAATTTATTTTTCCTTTAATTTTTAATATATTTCCCTCCTTTTCCAATGGGTTTCATCCTACTGTTATTTTTTTTCTCTTTTTACCATTTTTAAAGGCTTCTGCACTGGTCTATATGGGCCGGAGAGTAATATAAGCTACATTTTTTTTTAAATTTATATCATTAAAAAAAATATTTAATAATAATAATAAATAATGATTAAAAAAGTAATAAACAATGAACAAAAAGCATAATTCCTTTTGCGTGAAACAGTCTTTTGGGTAATACAATGAAGAATTGACTATGATCGGGCGACGAGGAAGTGTCAAAACTCGTCGTGAAAGCTTCTCGCGGTGTCGACCATTTTCGACTTCAAAAACAAATCCGGGTGCGCCAGTATCTCCGTCAGCGACAGCGTGTTGTCGCGATCGAGGTCGGCGAGCGCGAGCAGCGCCTCCGCCTCGTGCTCGCTGTGCCGCGGGCTCTGCGGCGCCACGTAGTGCAGCAGCTCGCGCCTGTCCGCCTTCCCGTCGCCGTTCAGGTCGATCGCCTTGCGGAACTCCGCGCGCCGCTCGTGCTCGTCCTGCCGCACGACCAGCGTCTCGTCGCCGTTGCCCTCGGTCTGCAGCACGGCGAACTCGTTCTCCGTGAGGAAATCGTCCCCGTCGCGGTCGAACTTGTCGTACAGCTCGTCGACGAGCGCCAGCTGGTTGGCGGCGCTGGATTCCGGGTGCGTGAACGCCAGGAACTCGTCCAGAGTTAGGGAGTCCGGGTTGGAACGGGCGGCTTCCATCCACGAAGCCTTGTCTCGCATTATTTGCTCTAGAAAAAAGATTTAAGGCGGCTGCACAATTACTCGGGAACGCTAAAGAAAACGAGAACGGAAACTAAAACGAAAACGAGAAGATTCACAATTAACATAATTATTTTAATTCTTAGGTTAATATATATTTGGTATTTATAATAGAAATATACGTACGATCATACTGCAGATGTTCAGCTATTAAAAGCTAAATATTTTTCTTTAATAATTAATCTTTATACTCTTTTAACAGGCGATCGTACAGATGTGGGAACTTTTTTACTAATAAAATAATTAATTCGTCGTTCATTTTCTTTAATTTATTAACACAGAACGTATTGGTAAAACAAATAGCGCGAATGTCAGAAATAGTTTGACAGATTAAACTAATTTTCTATTGGTTTCGATAATGCTGCGTTTCTATTGGCTACCGGGAACGAGAAACTTAAAACTTTAACCAACTTTCTCATTCCTCGTTGCCAAAATTTGTTGTGCATGTGTACATTGACTTCTGTGTGTTTAATTTTTGTCTCGTTACCGTTCTCATTTTCGTTTCCGTTCCCGAGTAATTGTGCAGCCGCCTTTATTAGGTTTTTTAAACAAAATAATAATAGAACTTTGTAATTCATGGTACAGTCAGCGCGTTATAACTTGATGAAGCTCGACGCATGTGGGTGTAGCCGTTGGCACTTTTTTACTGCCTACCAGGCTGGTGGATTACTGCCTACCAGGTTGGCGGCGGGTGGATTTTAGGTATACGGATATCTCAATTATTAGATAGATAGATTAGAAATCGACTATTTTTTTATAAAGTATATCGAAAATATTGTTTTGGGTGAAAAAATTATGGTGAAAGTTTGAGTCCAGAATATCAATATTAAGCAGTGTATCATCGCAATTTTAGATTTTTTTTCCTGAGCGAGTTTTTGTCTCAGGACTCCCAAACCATTGAGTTTAACAAAATTGACTTAAGAATATTTTTTGAAGAAAATTGAATGCTCTACAAAAAAGGTTTGATTGGAATGTCCCGTCAGATGAACCGTTTTCTTACAATCATGCCTTAAAATTGGTATAGTTTTACAATTTGATTTTTTAACTTTGAAATTTTGTAATTCATGTAAAAATCAGTACCCAGAAAAAAAACCGATAGATATTCTTATGGGAAATCAAATGCTCTACAAAAAAGTCTTCCAACATTTTTGGCTAAATTCACTCCATCAAAAGTTATTCAAGGTTAAATATGAAGTCAAAACGAAATTCTTGTTTTTTCCGCTCTAGATTTTTGTTTGGGTCAGTTAAAAACTTGGATTCTTTTATGGATGATAATCTTTATGTTATTGATAAAATTACTGAAAATTTAAAAAAATAACACATTTTTTCGCTTTAAGAGGCTTTTTTCTTTAGAAAATATTATTTTCACTGTTACCTATTTAATAGTTTAAATAATAACAATTATGTTGTTTTTTTATTGGAAATTGTTAATTATTTATATAATACACATTTATAAAGAAAAAAATCAAATTATCATCCATAAAAATATAAATCTACAGAGAAAAAAACAAGAATTTCGTTATGACTTCAACTTTAACCTTGAATAACTTTTGATTGAGTGAATTTAGCAAAAAATGTTAAGTGGCTTTTTTTGTAAAGCATTTGATTTACCATAAAAATATTTATCGGTTTTTAATGGGTACTGATTTTTACATGAATTACAAAATTCCAAAGTTAAAAGATCAAAATGTAAAAATATACAAATTTGTAAGGCATTATTTTAAGGAAACGGTTGATCTGACGGAAAATTTCATTTAACCTTTTTTGTAAAGCATTTAATTTTCTTAAAAAAATATTTCGAGTCAATTTTGTTAAACTTGGGAGTCAAAAACTAGTTGAGGAAAAAAAAATTAAAATTGCGATGATAGACCTCTTTTTATTAATATTATGGATTCAAACTTTCACAATAATTTTTTTTGTCACCCCAAACCATATTTTCGATATAGTTTAAAAAAAAGTTGATTTTTTTGGCCCATTGGGACCCACACCAAATTTATATGAGTTTGCGAAAAAAGATAACTTTTTGCTCGGCCGTACCGGCCCCATGGCGCCCCTAATAAATAAAATATAAATTTAATTGGTGCAATTTATTATTTACCATGGTTTATCGACAAATTTCAAATTTCATTTTAAATTTTTAATATTTCTTTTCAAAGAAATAATAAAAATTTAAAATGATTGACTTAAATTTCTTTGTGGTAGGTAGTTGAATAAAATATTGTTTGCGACTATTGGTCCATGCTCGAGGAATCTCCTCTTTCTCCCAATTTTTTTATAGTCCATAAAATTGTAAAAAATTTGATATATTTGTATTAATTCCCCACATGTATTATTTCAGATAATATACCTTTGATTGATCTTTGCAGCCCTTTGTGCCTCCTTTCATCGTGATTTTTCACGTATTTGCTGCTAAAACCGCGTTTCTTCAAAAAATACGTGTGATATTCTTTCCACGTGACAACCCCATTACGCGGATTCACGTCGATCAAAGTAAAAAGACCGTAATTATTGCCGATAGCGGAAGAAATGTGCTCCACGATTTTTTTCCTTATCCATTTGGCCAGCTCGTTCATATCCAACTTCCCGTTTTTATCTTTATCTGCTCTAAAAAAAATAGGACGGTATATTAACCAAATAGAGTATAGTTTATATAGTATATACTTGATAAACACATCTTGCAGTATTTCGTTCTTGTCGTTGTTGTTAGTGTTAATCAAATACTCATTTTTTTCCTCGTACTCCTCAGTCTTTTTGTCTGAATTAAAGTTGCTATTCTTCAGCCGCACTTCGAAAGTATCCTCGAGCGCTATTGGCTTATCTTTATGGTTACGAGTTATGGGTTTTAGGGGAACAGACAACATCCATATCATTACAAAAAACGTACAGTAACACAAAACGGGCACCGAGTACGTCCATCGCAGACAAATCAGTTTCCTTACGTTTTTCTTCACTAACATTATTATTTAATCACTGTTTGTTGCCATATTTTGCTGATACAACACGTTGTCGATCACATTGCCGCAAACAGTTACTCTCTATGTTACTTTCTAATCGGCTGCTGGCGGGAGTCAATCATTTTTGCATTACTTCTAATCACTTTTACCGAGTTCATTTTTTAAGGTTATTTGTGCTAAATTTTCCCTAAATCTGTATGAAATTATTAATTCAAGCGAGTACATGGAATGGATTTAAAAATCGATAAAGAGAAAGTGGAATGCGCGCATGAGCGCGCGTACATTTAAAACGCAGTTTTATTAATAAAAGAATTGGTTTAGCCATACAGTACAGAAATCATCAACTTTCTTTAATCGAAATGCATGTGCTACATTTAAAATCTATTAAAATACAAATGATCATATTTAAAATGTGCCTTTTAAGGTAGTATATGGGGCGCCGTTTTATTTTTAATTTAGGAATTGATATTTTCAATTAGATAAAAATATCATATAAGAATTTTTATTCTGCGTATTAAAAATATCATGTTTAAAAATTAAATTTAATTTGTATGCTAAACTGATATTTTTAATTTAGTGAATTTAAAATATCTGTTTCTTATATTTGTAATATTTTTATTCTTAATTTTTTAATTCGAAAATATCATCGATGATAATCATATCACTTGTTATATTATGGCTGAAAATATCATCCGGTCAGAAATGTAATGTGGAGTACCAGAAAACTTTCTGATGTAACGGGGGTTTCGCAGGCCACTGTACAGAGAATTCTTAACATAATAAACGGCACCAATATAAAATTCAACTTCTTTAAGAATTGCATGAAGATGATAATGACCGCCGTTTACAATTTTGTGAAATTATGTCCAAATTAATTATAAACCCTTGCGGAATTTTTTATACAAAAATTTTACTAAGTAAAAGTAAGAGTTTTGTAAGTCTTACTTTTACTTAAAAGCTCTGAATAAGTCTTATTAAGTCGGAAAAAGTCAGAATAAGTCTTATTAAGTCGGAAAAAGTCTGAATAAGTTTTAGTAAGTCAGACTAATAGCAAGATTTGGGAGTAAGTCTTAATAAGACATTTGGCAGAGAAATTGTAGGTATACCTATAGCGATTAAAATAAATATCTGGAATTATTCAGAGAAGTGGTATTTGGTTATTGCAAAAAAAAAATTTATAAACACTGTTTTTGTGTTGTTATAGGGCTTATAAAAACGAACAGACTCATAAAACAAATATGCTTGATCTTCGAGCTGCTTTTAAAACTAGTTTTGTTTTAAATTTACTAGTTTAATTTAAATGTTATTTAAGTCAATAAAAATGTTACAGGATAGAATAAAATAATTGTGCATATTTAGTAAATATACAATATTATTTAGTAAAAATTTCTTTACTTATTATTTTAATCGAAATTTGCAAATTATCCGATTTTACCCGCTTCAAAATTCTACCCGCAAACATGACGAAAATAGCCGATTTGCAAACGGCAACACTGGGTCGGACTGACAGAAGAAAGATACAATCATTGGTCAACCGAGAAAATCAATATTGCGTCTAGAACACATTTGTTGTTGTTTTTTGAAGAATTGTTTGGAACAATGGTTAGATGAATATTTGCGTATACAGTGTGTATTAAAACGAATAGATACACTTAAATAAAACAAGTGCCAAACCCCGCCCACTGTGGTAGGGATTGAATTTATTTTAGAATTATTTTTGTTTGAGAATTTATAGGTTTTATTTTTATCGAATTCGTTTGTTTTGTTTTAATGCATTTCTGCAAATAAAAACTAAGTATTGTTAAAAATACATTAAATTCCAGTTAATGGCGAAAATGTATTTCTTAAAAACTATACACATTTCCCTACGACAGCGTCGGAGCTACTGAACACAGTAGATCAAACTGCATGCCCTTGTATCTGGCTGCATGCCGCGCTGTTGCCATATGCTATTCTTGTTTCCTAAAAGGGTTGTTTTTCTTATTTTTTAATATTAAAAGTAAGAAAATTAACTAAATCAAATTATTTTTGACATATTATTAATTTTTTTGTTATTTTTAAAGTTTCAAATAAATAAAATTGAACTATTTATTAAATAATTATAATCGTTCTCTTCTGATTTAAAACAACCTGGCAACTATGGTTCGTAATTACGAATGGCTTGGTTTAAACCACGCCCAATTAAAGTTTGTTTCTTTTTCTCTGATCAGAATATAATTTGTCATCCTTGTCTGCAGCCTTACTTACTTGATTCTATACAGTCTGTATAAAAAGAAACTATTGAAATAAAACGTACAGTGGCAACAAAAAAAGCAAGTTAAGCCAATGGTATGTAAAAAATTATAATTGTTATAATCATTACACCTTACATATGCAATTATATACTGCCCTATAGTATACTATGGAGAAAGGCAGTAACTGCAAAAAAATGTAAAATGCGTTTTCTTGTGCTATGGTAAAGCTATGGACATTTTGTAACCGAATTCAACACAGAAATGCAGTCAAATATCTCATAAGTTCAAAAAATCAAGTAAATACCTACTGCTTTTTATAAAAATGTAGTTTATGCTAATTTTCCACAAATTTCTTGTTTAGCAGTTACTGCCTTTCTCCATAGTAGGGCAGTATAGGTAATTATGCTATAAACTTGGCTTAAAACAAAACAACAAAAATGTTAATAAATACTTTTCTTTGTGTTTTATTTTTCAATAACTAAATACAATCTCTCTGAATAACTCAAAAGATGTATACCCCTTTTCATTTGAAAAAATAGGGGTAAACACCGCCCCTGCAAGGGGGTTGAAGTTACAGTGATGAAATTAATGTGTAAATATGCCCCCTGAAAACAAAAGTATACGGGTCCGAAGATTTCTTTTTATTTTCACATCCAAAGCCGTAAACCTTGCTGGCCACCCTGTACAATAAAAACACATTCTTAATTTGTACATTTATTCTTAAACCATAACAAAATTAAAATTAAATAAGTACACTTAAACTTAGGTAATAAATTAAAGACTTAGTAGTAGTTCTAAATGGGATTCGAGAATTTTCTTATCCTCTCGACCGTTTTAGGCTGGACAACCTTTAAAGCGAGCACGTCTTTGGTATTGTTCGGTTTCAGAGGTAGATTTAACAGTTCTTTTGTGGCATTCGATAGAGACATCAAAAAGTTCATTACGGGCGGCGATATCAAATCGGCGTCCACATCTTTGGGGTCTTGGTACCCGGTCACGAATGACCCAATCATGCCCAGCACCACTGTCACCAAGAAGCCGATCATCGAGTACCATATGTAGGATATTCGGTACAAAAATAAGGGCTTCTCTCTAAAATTAATAACTTAAATTGCTGTGTGGTGAACAACATGGTAAGCAAACTTACCTATGCTCTATCACGGGTTTATTCGAATACAATAAAGTAGTATTCAAGCAGACGCAATGTTCAATACTGGTCGGCTTGGACTCTTCATCGTAAACACCATTGGCGATTGAGATTTGCTGCCCGATGCACATTAAAGTTATTAAAGCACATGCTATTATACTTCCAAACATAGCGCCCTGAAAATATAATTTGTAAAAAATGTTGGTGGTTTATTGAAACAACTTACTTTAGAGTTGGCCCACGGGAAAAACATCCCCAACGAAAAAAGACCCAGCGTAACTCCACCAACCATGCCGTTAAAGCTTATAGCCACTTGCATTACACTGCCCAAATTTGCCACCACGAATATCTATAAATAAAAAAAAGAATGGGTATATTTAGATTTCTTTAAATTTATGAACAGCAAAATAAGGACAGTAAGACCAAAAATGATTTTTTAAATACTATCTACTATTTTTTTATTGGTCGTCCTCTTTGGGAAGGTAAAACCCTTCTAATGGACTATACATTTTATCCATGCTATCTACTTTTTATATTTGGAAAAGGCTGCTTCTGATTTTTTTAAAATAAACAGCATAGACAAAATTTATGCCTCATTGTAATGAATTTGAAATCAAAGAAAATCACAAATAAAATATAATACAATAAATAAATCAAATATAATACAAAAGTAATTCAAGTTTTTTAAATTTACCAACAAAAAATAGGTATAGTAACTCCAAAAAGGATTTTTTAAATACCATCACTATTTTATCGATCGTCGTCCCCTTTGGAAAGGTAAAACCCTTTTAATAGACTATAAATTTTATCTATGCTATCTACTTTATATATTTGGAAAAAGCTACTCCTGATTTTTCAAAAATAGATAGCATAGACAAAATGCATGCTTCATCCTGATGATTTTTCTTTGAAATGAAAAAATCATAAATAAAACATAATGAATTAAACAAATTTAAGTTTTTCAAATTTACCAACAAAAAATAGTTATAGTAACTCAAAGAAGATTTTTTAAATACCATCACTATTTTTATTGATGGTCATCCTCTTCGGGAAGGTAAAACCCTTCTAATAGACTATAAATTTTACCTATGCTATTTATTGAAATAAAAAAAATAAATAAATAAAATATAATACAATATATCAAATATGTATAATATAAAAGTTATTAAAGTTTTTTAAATATACCAAGAAAAAATTAGGTATAACTCCAAAAATGTTTTTTTATTTACTATCACTATTTTATTAATGGTCGTCCTCTACGCTATCTTCCCAAGTTTACCTAAATATATCAAAGCTTTATTACACTCTTTGAAAAGATGTTTGGGTTTAAGGGAGTTATCGCAAAGGTTAATTATTCTTAGAACCATATTTCTTTAATATAATGGTTTATTAGACACAACAAAACCTACTTTTAAAACCATAACGCCTCTTACGCTTGTAAGTTTTAACTTTGCTTTATTATGTGTTGTCATTTATACATTTATAAAACTAATTTACTTAAGAGACCCTTAAGGCCTATTTAGCTTTATGGCAGTATATTGATTTTAAAGATTCTTAAAAAGTATGTTTTATCGAAGCAGTTAAAACCAAATTTCTGGAGGAAACTGTTTTAAGACTATTTGCTTGTGCTTAAATACTTTTTACAGCTAATACTTTAGTCTGCTTTATTATACTCCTGTGTGCTAGCTTCTCAAGAGTTTGTCTCGATGGCAATACATTAAAAGGCATTTTGGCTTTAGCATTACCATTTAGCTTTATAGAGGTGTCAGACGAGGATTTATGAAAGCTGTGACAACCTCATTAAAGCAATTGTAATATGGTTCTAAGAAAGTATTAAGCCTGCTATAACAGCGCATTAAATAGCTTTAAGGTGTAATTTTAAAAGAGGCCCTATCGGTGCTTTACAGCAATAATAAAACCTAATGTGTTACTTAGGTACTCTATATATTTCGAAAAATTAAAAAATAGGGAGCATAGACAAAATTTATGCTTCATCCTCATGATTTTACTTTGAAATCAAAGAAAATCACAAATAAAATATAATATAGCAAAGTAATTCAAGATTTTCAAATTTACCAACAAAAAATAGGTATAGTCTCCAAAAAGGATTTTTTAAATACCATCACTATTTTATCGACCGTCGTCCTCTTTGGGAAGGTAAAACCCTTCTAATAGGCTATAAATTTTATCTATGCTACCTATCTACTTTATATATTTGGAAAAAGCTACTCCTGATTTTTCAAAAATAGATAGCATAGACAAAATGTATGCTTCATCCTGATGATTTTACTTTGAAATCAAAGAAAATTATAAATAAAATATAATATATCAAAGAAATTTAAGTTTTACAAATTTACCAACAAAAAAATAGATACTCCAAAAATGATTTTTGAAATAGGTACTATCTACTACTTTATTAACGGTCGTCCTCTTTGGGAAGGAAAAATCCCTTCAATAGATAAATATATATATATACTTACTAAAAGAAAACTGATGGCTCCATAAATTATGGAGATAATCTTGGCCCAAAATGCACCCTTAGCTTCGGGTAAATCAATTTTAAACGCGCTATGAAGAAAATCTTGCATCGTGACCGCCGCCAAACTATTCAACGCCGATGCCACCGTTCTGCACAGAAATGCTATGTTAATACATACAAAAAATATATTTCAAAAAATATCAAAACATACCCCAAACTAGCGGCGAATATTCCGGCCACGAAAAATCCTGTCATTCCTTTAAAGTGACCCAAAGTGGTGATTACGTAGAGGGGTAGAATTTCGTCCGACGCTCTTATTTGCCCGGACTCCAGGGGATCGCAGTCTTTGTAATGAGCCACCATGATCATGCCCGTGTAAAAGTTTATGGTGTAGACTAAAATTAGGCCGAAGCAAGAGGTCCACAAGGCTCTAAGAAGAAAAATTCAATGTTTAAGATGAGTGAAAGATGTTTTAAACCAAGTCATTTAAAATATGCATTTTAAGCACAGTAACAAATATAAATAACACTTTGCAACATTTTCGGGAAAAAATTAAGATGATGGGGTTCTGAAAGTATTTTCGGTTTCTACAATCAAAATCATGAACTATAGCGTTAACAAAATGTTTAGATTGATTCTGTTTTTTTTAAATATCAATTTAAAGTTTTAGTAATTCTGGATCCCAAAATATCGTAAAATAATAAATAATTAGTACATAAAATATAATTATTGTTTTGGTATATTGTTTTATAAAGTAATAACAATCAAATAAAGAAAAAAATAATGAGAACAATAAAATGCATTTTTTTTTAATTGAACCTTTTTCTGGATTCAATATGTTGTAGTGCAATTTCTTAGTTCTTTCGCTTCTACCATAATAATAATTATGGTAATTATTATTATTATTATTATTATTATATTAATTATTAAAAACATATTCTTTTTAACAAATAGAATGAATCAACATAAAAGATATAACAAATTTTATTTATAATTTTATGCCAAAATTTCCATTGCCATAGACCAACAAAAATCTGCCAACATCGAATCAAACCTCTTTCCTCTATAACGATTTTCCATTTCCATTATTGTTTGATGCTCTTCTGATTCGGTGGACAGCTGATTTTCGAACAGGTCAAGATGTGCATAGAGCAAATGTATACTTTTAGTGACATGTTTACCACCATTTTTAATTTTTGTTTTATTTTTTATTATTCTTTTTAATTTATTGTTATGGCAACAATTTCCTACCACTTAATTGGTTTAAATTAATAAATAACGGTTTTTCGGGTTCCAAAATTAATAAAACTTAAAATCGATATTAAAAAACCTGAATCAATCTAAATATTCTGTAAACGCAAATTCTTTGGATAGGAGAAACGAAACCCACTTTCAGAACCCCATCATTTTTTTTGTTTTGGTTTAAATTAATAAATAACGGTTTTTCGGGTTCCAAAATTAATAAAACTTAAAATCGATATTAAAAAAAACCTGAATCAATCTAAACATTCTGTAAACGCAAAAAGGCATTCTTTGGATAGGAGAAACGAAAACCACTTTCAGAAACCCATAATTTTTTTTGCTGTTCCACTGTGTAATAAAAGTATCTCTTACTTGCGAACTTGTCCGATTGTTTCCACTGACAAATATTTTTGTATGGAAGCCTGGTTCGAGCAGAACATCGTCAACCAGTAAAAAGTTCCACCAATCACGACCGACCAAAAACTGTGACGGATTGTGAAGTCTGCATCAAAACTGAGGAAAAATAGTATTAATATTATTAAAACTTGGAAATGTTTAATATATTTTTACTTGAATAGTTCCAAGCGGCCAGTATTGAAATTTTCCGACCATAGAGGAGCTGGCCCTCCAATATATTTTTCTCCTAAATATGCTATCACTATTAGTGAGCCTATCAGCACTATTGCTTGGAATGTGTCCGCAATAATGACCGCTTTCATTCCACCCTAAAAATATGACTAACTTGTAATTTTTCTTTCTAATTTCTTTTAAGTTTTGCAATACATTTTTTATTTTGGATTCTTTTTCTTCATTTAAACTGTTTTTTTTAACCCCAAATGAACATAAAAACTTTCGCTCGAATTAAACCATTTTATCTGTGAGGTCCGTTTTATATTTTTATTTATTTTAATTTTGTGGGTTTCTTTAAGTTTGCATTGTATATTTCTCATAAATAATAAACCCTGTACTCTCTAAAAATGAATTAGTCAAAAATAACTAATTGTCATAGCCAAAAAGCTGTCAATAATAATTCTCGTCAACAGCAATTTGTATCCCGGACATTTAGCAGTCAATTCCTTTATAAAATTGTCCGCATAATCCGAAATTTTCGTCATAAGTTATAAAAGTTCAACAATTTTTAAGATATAGTAAATTTTTTGTTATCCCAAGAACTATAAATTCTAAGGTATTACACGTTTGAACAACAATGTTATTTATATGGTTATTAAAAGATAGTTCATTATCAAAGGTTATGCTCAGGTCTTTCTTTTTAGTTCTTCGCTTAACTAAAATTTTATTAATGGAATAATTAAACTAAATAAAGTTTTTTTCTTAGTGTATGTTGCTAATAAACATTTTGAAAAAATTTAACATAAGTTTTGATTGAATGCACCAGGAATAAATTAAATCAAGAGTATTTTGTATCCCTAAACAATCATTCGAATCGTATACTGTTCGATATATTTTAAGATAATCTGCAAAAAGCAACTTTTTATCAGGCAAGGTAAATATAAGGTCATTAATAAAAAGGAGGAATAATAATGGGCCAAGATTGGACCCCTGAGGTACACAGAACGATACTAAATAACAGTTTGATTCAAAACCTTCAAACTCGACAAACTGATATATCTACTTTAAAGGTAGGATCTAAATAAGTTAAGTAGATTATTGGAAAAGCCGAGAGTATTTAAGTTTTGCAGTAAGACTCCATGATCGATTTGATCTAATGCCTTTTGAAAATCAAGATATAAGACATCTACCTGACCTCGACCTCTAGAGCAGAAATAACATATTAAGTAAGGCAAGCCAAGTTAGTTATGAAGGATTTTTCTGCTATCAAACATTTTGTGGAAGTAAATATAATAATCTCAAACAATTTAGAAAAGTTGCATAATATAGAAATAGCTCTGTAATTTTGAATAATACCTTCCATATTTCAGGAAAAGATCCAGTTGACAAACAGAGATTGTTTAAGAGATTGTTTAAGTGGACCATCTAGAGCTCCAATGCAATCTTTAACTAAAAAACTAGGTATACCATCCTTACCCGATGTAAACTTATTATTTAATTTTTAAACCGCTTTAAAAATATCACTATTATTAATTGTGTTTACTTAAATAGATAAACCATTGGGCCTAGAATTATTATAATTTAAAGAATATTGTATATCTATATATAGTTTAACTGCTTTTATTTCTAATGAGCTAAATCTTTTTTTCTTAACAAGTTTGTTATTCCCTTTCCCAACCAAGGAGGGTAGAACTTTAATTTTTTACGACATAAGGGTACGTTTTCACTTGTCACAGACATTTTCCATATAATATGGTGGAATATACAGCCCGTTCAGAGTAAAACCGAATATAGGGAAACGTTTTGGGCGTGGCCTCGCCTCCCTCCAACGCGCGTCACAGTATTTTGTGTGATAAACGACATGACGAAAGGTCGAGCAGGTAAGACGACCTTAAAAATTAAATGATAATAATGCAAAAAATCTCATTAGCGATGCAGGCTATTTGCTTAGCTACTGTGTCGCGAGTTGGAGGGAGGCGAGGCCACGCCCTATACGTTTCCCTTTATTCGGTTTTACTCTGAACGGGCTGTATCTCAAAAACTGCTGTATTTTTATAATTTTTGACAGTATTTTCGGATTCAAAGAACAATTTTACTTGTAATTGACTGTTAAATGTCCAGGATACCAATTGACGTCACTTTGAAAACTAGTTATTTTTAACTAATTCATTTTTAAAGAGTATGTTTATTTTAATTCATTTTAATTTAAGTCATCCATAAAAAACAATAATTCCATCAGTGAAAAAAATATATGTAATTAGTTAAACAATAACATACCTGTGACGCATAAAAAATGCATACAATGTAGACAACTGTTACGGCTAAATACACGTTTAATCCAGTTACTAAAAAAATAAAAAATTTCAGTATTTGGTCATTAGGGTGTCCGTTATTTGGGCGATGTGCGAATTTTTTTGCTCGCACCCCCCAAAAAGTTGTAGTTTGAGAAAAAAAAATTTTTGGTAATTTTTTTAGATTTTTTTTTTTTTAATTAACCCGTGCCGCAAGAGGGTTAAAGATTTAATTATTGTTAAAATATGATTAAATTTTGCCTTTCACTATAGGCTTACCACTCCACGATTTTTCAATGAAAAAAGTCTGTCGAGTGGTTTTCTTATAGTTCAAACACCGCTGAACCCTAATCTGAAATTCGTTTTTTTTTTCATTAATCGTTTTTTTAGAATAGCCTGTGTAAAATCGCAAATCGGATGAAAAATGGGATTAGGCTCTTTTCACATTCAAAGTCCTGTAACGTCGCCAGTTTTCAATAAAAAAAATCTGAAAATTGGTATACTTATGGTTTTGACATCGCTGAACTCGAATCTGACATTTTCATTGATGACAGCTGTCAAAATAGCTGTCAAAAATCCCAAAAAAACGGTTTTTTATTAAAAATGCCCATTTTATGGTTATTTCATGCGCTGAATCTGAATTTGATGCACTTTGAATTATTTATTTTCATAAAACCAAAATCCAAATCACTCAATAAAATGTACAAATGATTGAACTGTCAAATTTCAAGTTCCAAACATAATTTTACAGGGGCAAATGGGCATTTTTAATAAAAAATCGTTTTTGGAATTTTTGACAGCTATTTTGACAGCTGTCATCAATGAAAATGTCAGATTCGAGTTCAGCGATGTCAAAACCATAAGTATACCAATTTTCAGATTTTTTTATTGAAAACTGGCGACGTTACAGGACTTTCAATGTGAAAAGAGCCTAATCCCATTTTTCATCCGATTTGCGATTTTACCTACTCCCGACACAGGCTATTCTAAAAAAACGATTAATGAAAAAAAAAACGAATTTCAGATTCGGGTTCAGCGGTGTTTGAACTATAAGAAAACCACTCGACAGACTTTTTTCATTGAAAAATCGTGGAGTGGTAAGCCTATAGTGAAAGGCAAAATTTAATCATATTTTAACAATAATTAAATCTTTAACCCTCTTGCGGCACGGGTTAATTAAAAAAAAAAAATCTAAAAAAATTACCAAAAATTTTTTTTTCCCAAACTACAACTTTTTGGGGGGTGCGAGCAAAAAAATTCGCACATCGCCCAAATAACGGACACCCTATTGGTCATATACCTTAAAGCGGTTTTAAAACAATTATATTTTTTTACCCCGGCGCCTTCGCCATTTTTGACAAAATATTTAAAATCAATAATCAAAATGTGTGACCCATAAATTCCCAAAAAACACGAAGTGCCGTAAATTTTACAGAAAAACCGAATAACCAAAAAGAGGGGCATTTAATCCTTCCAAGCCATGTCTATCTAAAAAACTATGAAGAATCCAGATATGACACTTTGTGATTTAAATTAAATATCAGAACCCTGTAGCCGACGTTTTTAGGGCCTAAGACCTAAGTCTCCAGGGGGGTTTTCTTTGTCGCAATCTAGTCTGCTGTAAATAATATTATGCTCTGATTGCTTTCTATAGAAAGTAGGGTTTTAAAATTTCCGGAAAAATTGAGCCGGCGGAAAAACCCGTTTTTTTCCGAGAAAAAAAACGGAAAACTGTGAGATTTTCAGAAAAATTACTTTTGCATTTTTTTTCATTTTATCCAAAGGGTAATAAAAAAAATTAAAAAGTAAATTTTTCTGAAAATTTACAAATATCTGTACACTGGTATGAAGAAAAAAGTGAATTTTCGACTGATTATAATCACATATGTATACATATACATTAGGGTGTCCCTTATTTTTTTTTTCACGCATACCCCCTAATTATATTTATTACGTGTTTATATACTCCCAAAAAAAATTTTAGCTCATTCTATAAACGGGAACCCGTGCCGACTTGCATCTGAACCCTCCGTTAGCCAACGTCGGTTGGTCGCGAGGTCTTCGATCGTAAGTCATTTTGTGTTTGTTATTATGTGACCCTTATATTATAAATTATTGACAAATGTTAAAATATAGTTTTATTCATGTGTATACTTTGATAAAAATGTATATTTTCACAGGGAGTAGCTAGTTACAGGGAAGGGTCTATTGAATAGGCCGTAAACTCTGAAATTGATAAACTTAATGGGTTTTACTCTAAATAACTAAAAGAGTCTATTGTGGGAGATGACTACCGAAAACTTATTGAACTGTCTGAAATATTTTTGGGAGGACATCAAGAAAAGAAATGCTTATAAAAAGCTGAAATTTCATATAACAGTATATTTTAGCAATACTAATTAGTATATTAATATATTTAAGGGATAAAATCAACTAAATTAGTGAAACAAATGATAGAAACAAAAGCAATAATATTAATTAGTAATCATATTTAATGAAATCATTAGAAAAATACAGTCAGGAAGTATATCTTCTTTTTAAAGTGTTTCGTGTTACAAAATACCGCGCGCGCCTAACGTTGGCTAACGGAGGGTTTAGATGCAAGTCGGCACGGGTTCCCGTTTATAGAATGAGCTAAAATTTTTTTTGGTAGTATATAAACACGTAATAAATATAATTAGGGGGTATGCGTGAAAAAAAAAATAAGGGACACCCTAATATACATACATGATTATAATAATTATTTCTAGTACTATAATTTAGAAAGATTCTTCTACCGGGCCGCAAAAAAATAAATTCGGTGCTTTATTAACATAACTATTGTTTTATTTGACACATCGATTTATAAAATTATAATTTTGTAATTTAACTTTATAAATCATTCTCTCTAAAAATAAATTAGTCAAAAATTACTAATTTAATAGTTATTAGTGGCTGCTTTTTGACTTGTACCATGGTTAAACATCAAATACCATGGTATCCCAAAATTTAGCAGCCAATTCTTATGTAAAATTGTCCCCTGAATCCGAAAATGTCGTCAAAAGTTAAAAAAGTTTTTGAGATATAGTTAATTTTCCATTTAATATGGAATTGACTATATCTCAAAAACTGCTCCACTTTCAATTTTTGACGGTATTTTCGGATTCAGGGTATAATTTTACATAAGAATTGGCTGTTAAATTTTGGGATTCCATGGTATTGCATGGTTAACCAGGGTACAAGTGAAAAAGCAGCCACTAATAACTATTAAATAAGTCATTTTTGACTAATTCATTATTTTGTAAATGGATATTTTCAATGGACACCCTTTTGCAAAAAGGACCCAACCGACAGTATATTTAACGTTTAGATTTATTTGTTTTTTTGTAATAAAGTATTTTTTTAAATTAAAATAATGTTGATGATTGCTTTGTATATTTTTATAAAAAAATCAATTTTTCCCAAAAAAGACAATTTTCCAAGGCCTGGGAAAAAACAGTTTTTTTCACAATTTTTTCGTTTTTTTTCGACACTTTAAAACCCTAATAGAAAGTAAAAATATTCTATTCTTACCACGACTTAACGCAAGAGCAGGCGCATACACAGCCACGCTGGTGTACAAGACCATCTGCAAGATGTACAATGCGCTGGCAAGGTACCGAATGCCGGGTGCGAATCTCAAAGCGAAATACTCGTAGCTGCTGGTCAAACGAAGCTGCATAAATACTGGTAGGTAGAGTTTCGAGGTAATCGGCACAACCATTAAGAAAGCGAGGCAAATCGCCCAAAATTGAGAACCGTGAGTGTACATCTCCGCTGGGTTGCCCAAAAGTTCCACCGCGGTGACAAAACTGAAAAAAAGTTTTATACCTTTAATTCCTTGATTTCAAGTTTATTAAATATTATTTATACCTGGCAGCAAGTGACATGGCCATAGGAAACGTGCCCATGGAACTTCCTCCCAATAGAAAATCGTGGCTACTTTCATGTTTTGATCCACAGAACCCATAAAAAACCCCAATTCCACATGAAACCACCAACATGGAACCCAAGACCAAATAATCCGCCCATGTGAACGTGTTGTCTTCGTGGGATGCAGTTTTACAGTCCTCAGCTGAAAAAATAAATATAAAACTTATTATTATTTTACGACAAAAAATCTATAGATATATTGTTTTTTTACTTCTGATATTAAAAAATTGGTTGCTGGGCACCTTTGTCTACGTATTAATAGTAAAACTTTAATCCCATTTGCAATTTTCCATTTTCATATTAATATATGAAAAAAATTATATCTCAATAACAAATACATATAAAGCCCAATTTAAATTGTTATAGGGAATTATTTGTAAACCTATACATTGAAAATATATTTCAGATCAAAGTATAAGAACTTTTGTTTTCAAAATTTTTTAACATCAGTTTGTTACTTTTATATTGTACAATTTTATCATAATTCTTTGTATAAAACCAGGGATTGTAATTATTTTAACAAAGACAAACATTTTACCGAAGTTTTGTAAAGGTACTATGCAATTTTGTAAGCAATTTGTTAATTTTTATAGGTTACAGATTGTTTTGTTAATGTTTAACAAATTATTTTGTTGGAAAAGTACACGTGATTTCAAGCAGACAATCAAAACATTTTTAATTGATTTTTTATCGTTAACCATCCAGCACAACAATACGCATCAACAAGTTTAACTGATTTCAGCGTCTGTATATTACTAGAATAAGGGGATACAGTGAATTGGGTTAAAGTTACGAAATACATCAGTTATTGTTTTTGTATTCCTTTAAGTATGTAGGTATGTGTTAATTTTGTTTGTTTAGGAAACTGATTAATAAAGCAAAATTTCTTATCAAAAGTAAATTTCCAACAATTACTTTTGTTACTGGGTCTACAAAAAGTTAGTAAGAATAAGGTCCTTTTGATAATTACAAGAATTATATTTTAATTATTGACATAGAATTTTGTTATTAAATCTACAAAATGTCTAATAATTCTAAACGTAACATAAAGTTGGATTAACATAAAATCGGATTATTATTTGGTTAAAATTAACAAATATTGTTTTACTGCTCTCTAAAAATGAATTAGTCAAAAATGACTAATTTAATAGTTATTATTGGCTGCTTTTTTAATTCCATGGTTAACCATGGAATACCATGGTATCCCAAAATTTAACAGCCAATTCTTATGTAAAATTGTCCGCTGAATCCGAAAAATCCAAAAAATCCAAAAATTATGAAAGTGGAGCAGTTTTTGACATATAGTCAATTCCATATTAAATGGGGACAACCTAACCTCTCTGCGAGTTATAAAATTTTAAAAACAAAACATTTTTTTCAAAACTTTAAATTCTGACCTAAGATATATTTTGCTAGGTTTGGCTTTATATTCTTTTTTTGTGAGATACAGTTTTTCATCAGAGGATTGATATCAGAAGCCAAAAAAAGAATGGGAGATTTGATTCACCCTACTATACATAACTTAAAAAAATACCTTTAGCAGCAGAAGTTGTGTATACTATAATCAATAGCAAAATAATAATTTTCTTTAGTCTTGAAAAGGGCAATGTCCATTTCATTTCACCCATTTTAATTACAAATATATAAGTACGTTTTTGGAATATTAGTCTCTAGCCTAAAAAAAATAAAACAACATTATGAAAATATATTATAGTCAAATATAAATTTAGGATTTTTTTAATTTTAATGTTATCGTAAAAATGTGTTTTATCGCCCACAAAGCATTTTTAACGCGTTTCTATTCATAAAATCAGGTTTGTAGTTCAAAATTTCATTTGAGGGAATTCCCTTAATACATCGACGATTTAAAAAAATATGAATATTTTTCATAATAAGTAAGTTCAATCAATTTTTAAAAAATCTTTTTTGTAAAAAATATTAATTTTATATAAGATAAATATCTTACCTTTTTAAAAGCACTCACAAATAACTGATTTTTTACAATAAATCAGTTCTGAATTGAATTTGTATAATTTGCCGATTAGATCGACTCCTATACATCAGAATGAAAAAATTGAACTAGGCGCCCTCGTACACTGTGGTCAAACTAAGTTTGCCACCTTTAAACTGGGAATTAAATAGCTGTTTAATTAGTCAAGAGAAGGGATAAACATTAGTCAAAGCAATTATATGGGAATTTATTTGATTCGTCTTAAATTTTTTCGCGAAAATAATGACAATAGTACATGTGTAATTAATATTATCTAAAATTGTTCTTTAATTTAAACTTTATTATTTCCTACAACCCACCACTAAAGTGATTGATTATCGCCTAGGCTGTAAAAATAATTTAGACCAATTTGTTAATTTTCTTCTTTAAATTTGCTTTATCGGGAAAACCAAAATTTATTATACTGTTTTTCTATAAGAAAAATATTTTTCCCCAAGAACTCTTTTTTTAATAAAATTGTTGAAAATAGTAGATTATGTCATTAGGAAGAGAAGCAGTGGCGTCTGCAATATACGCATTGGGCCCCCATTTAGAATTCAAATAAATAATATTGATGTAATTATATTGTATTATATTTAGGGTTTTTTTTTTAATTTTTTTTGTTCGCCTCTGTAAAGCTTTATAAAAATTAAAATAACAAAACTTCTACAAAAGCGGGAGTTAAAAATTTGTCATCTACCTAAAATGAATAAATACAGCCCAGAAAAAAATATTTTTGTTTTATTTTAGTTTTTCAAAATGGCGGTATAAAGGCCAAAATATAAAAAACTAATAAATCAAATTCCAAAAAAATATAACACATGTAAGAAATTTTATATTTCTAACTTAAATAATTTTAAAGTTATTCAATATACAGTGCATGAAAAAAATTTTTTATGAAAAAAAATTTACTCTCGCTTTTGTAGAATTTTTAAAAAGCCTTGCAGTGGCAAACAAAAAAATTAAAAAATGACCCCAATGAATAATTGCTTTAATAAATTTGTTTCTTAAATTTTAAATTAAATATGTTAAAATTAATAGTACCGTATACAAAATTTGAGCCACTCAACTAAACTAAAAAACATTTAAGAGTTAAGTTAAGACAGTTTGTCAATTAATAGTACATATTAATTTACTATACCCACAAATTAACCTTAAAATTGACATTTGGCTGTTTTATGACAGTCCTGATAGAATAACGTTTATTTTTTACAAAATAAAAATAAAAGGGTTGCCCCTAGCACTTTAAGGCCTCTTTTAAGGCTCACAAGTGCTTCTGTAAGAAACACAATGTTTAAAACGATTATTAATTTGTATAAACACCACAAACCCGAAGTATGTATCAAGTTTTATAAACGATATTTTAGTTTTATTAGGCACATGCAAAATTTGCGAGCGAGTGTTTAATAAAAATGAGTGCCTAGAGAAGAGAAGGTTGAATTTGGGTGTCAGTTTTCAGATGTCAAATTTTTAACAAATAAATTGGCTATTTTGTGTTCGTCGTAAATAATATCGTTTGTCTTTTTATTATGTTGTATAAGATATTTAATATTTAATAATTACTTAATTTTTATTTAAAAATGACTTAATTTATTTACTCGTGGAATTTTCTCAACAAATAACACTCGAGGTTCGATTGAGCAGGAAGTTTTTTGGGCTTTTAACTCAAACTTGTCGGTTTGTTAACTTGACTCTTTTCTCAGAATAAAAAAATTCTAAAATACAGGGAATATGCAAAAGCTAAGATATTTCAACTTATGAAAAAACATTACAAATTATTACTTCGTTTTTGCAGTAATCTTAATAGGTATTGAATCGTTTGGCAAATAAATTTGAAAACCTAAATTGGACTAGTTTTTACCAGACCAAAAGATTAGCAAACCATAAGTTAAACTAACCATTTTTAAATTTAGTAAACATAGGTTTTACTTGTGAAGTTTTTATTAGGTAAATATTTTTAATCGTATAAAGGGTAATATTTTAAGTAGATATTTAGATATTTTTTTAAATAAAACAATTGTTTCATAATTTATTTTAATATTTATTTTATACCTGTTTTTTTAGTTTTTTACGTTTTTTAAATAATCAAAAAAAGAAACCTGATGGTGTATTTTTCAAGAAAATTGTATACAATTATAATTTCATTTAAATATAAAAGTAGGGCATTTTTTAATAAGTTTTAAGTTTAATTTTTATTACTTTGTTTTTAAGGTTTTCTTTAATTTAAAAATCCTTGTATTCTTAAAAATTACTGGATAATTTATTTGTAACTTAACGAACTAATTAAAATGTAATAAAAAATTAATATTGTTTACAAAAGATCAAATTTGGACAATGCTAGGCCTGCTTACTATTAATTTTCTTTATAGTGTATTAAATATTAAATTACTTTGTTTTTTGTTTATTTCAAAGTTTGGCGAAATTTCAGAATACATTTTATACCGGCGCATTCGCCATTTTTACAATTCTATAGATTGCGTTTTTTATATAAAAAATGGCTTCTGCGCTGCATTTTATTTTTCTGTCCCTTGACAAAATGTATTATTATAATGCTGTTGAGTTTTGTTGTGTTATTTAGGTGCCGACTAAGCATTAATTAAATGTTTGCGGTGGCATATTAGTTGATCCCAATTAAATTGTATATGGAGTCAGTGATGTTTTATTGGCGATGGATTTAAAGTGAAATATTTACTTGACACAAGGATCCGTTTAGTTTGATCTGGTTTATGCCAATATATTAAGTTCTTACCAGTTTTTCTTGGGAATTGTTTGGAGTGAATTACTTCGAGAAATGTGCAAAAGTGCTGGGGAAAATTAAAATTTACGCCTTCAATTAAAACCGCAGTTCGGAGGGAACTTTAAGCCCGCGCTCCGTTCCTACCCCTAACCCACATATGCCATTCGGTTGGCTTCTGCGACTTCTTAGGAAGTAAGGGTGGAACTAAAAGAGCACTTAAAAAGACGATTTTAGTGATTTTGGTGATTGCCTTAAGGTTCCTACTTTGTTCGATTTCTTGTTGCATTCTATACATTTTTATATAATGGTCTCAAAAAAATGTTTTACCATAGAGAAAAAATAATATTTTTTATTAAAATATTTAAAATTACAAAACTATATATAGTTATAGGTACACCTACACGGATTTCTATTAGGAAACTTTAAATAGTCACTCTATAGAGTGTATAATATATTATTTAATTTAATAATAATTATTAAAATGTATAATTGGTTGCATAAATAGCGTATCTATATGCATAATTTAACATAATTTATAATTAAATTTTAATTAAAATTTATTTATATTTAAAGTGACCGCAGAACAGTGACGTAACTATACCCCCGCTCGTCTTAGGCCGACGGGTTGGGTGGTAGAGGAAAAAATTTAAAAATCCGCTTTTATGGTTTATACAGATTTAGATATAATAATTAGCGTAATAAACCAGATTAAAATTTATTTGTATTGTTTTATTGAGTTGACAAGCATAGGAGTGTTTTTATGCGCAAAATTTTTATCTCGTCATCTCCTCTTATTTTAAAGTTGAATTGCCCAATGCCAAAAGTTGCAGGGGCCAACCCAAAATTTTTATTTACGCCACTGCCGCAGAAACTGAGATTTTTAAAATATAAGAAAATTTGAAATAATTCACTGGGTGAAAAGACAAGAATTAAAATTGTTTTTGTAACTATGATATTTTAAACTTAAAGTTTATGTTTCTTAATTACAACAAATTAATAGTTTTAAAAAACTAAGAACGTACCTAGCGTAACGTACCTACTATAAAGTATAAAATAATAAAATATTTAAAACGAAAAACGTGGGGCGCATGCAATAGATAAAATTAAGAAGCGTAGAGAGTACATATAGGTAGATACTATCCACACTCCTTACTATGGTAATAAAACACTTTGACAGATGTCAAATTGACAGGTGACTTCTTAGTTTTGTGATTGTAATCAAAGATAATGTATCAAAGATAATGTATTATCTGTAATCAAAGATAATGTATTATCTTTGATTGTAATATTTAAAACAAAAACCCCATTTACAATAAACAATAAAAGATTATCTTTTAAGTAAGATTAAAGAGAAAACAAATATTCGAAATATTCCCCAACACCAAAACAAAACACAAAGTGCTTAAAGTACTTTTTCTTACTACCTCGCCCGAAAATACGTTGTTTCGTCCCCGATTCCACGGCAGAAAGTTTACGTTTGATGCATTGGTCAAATTTACGTTTGATGCATTGGAATCGGGGACGAAACAACGTATTTTCGAGTATATTACACTCGTGCCGCAAATGTCGGGGCAGGCATCAATATGTTTCGATATACACATTTAATTTTTTCCCGTATTTTCGGCCGGGTTGGGTTGTATTTTCGGCCGAGGTAGTAAGAAAAATAGTATACACTACACGGGCAGAAAGTGTGAGAGCCCTGAACTGCGCGCCATGATCATGGCGCGCAGTGCAGGAATCTTACACTTTCTGCCCTTGTAGTGTAATATACTATTCGCCAACAATGTTGGTATCTTCAGAAGCAAAGTGTAAGTTTTTTTTACTAAAAATTGTATTGGTAGATTTATTTTGTGATATATTTTGATAAATACAAAGTTTTATTTAACTATCTATTTTTTTGTGAAAATAAAAAACATGTTTTAATAAAAAACTGTATTTTTCCTAATAAATAATAACATTTAAATACAATAGCAACCATTAAAAAAAAACATAAAAGATCTACATTTTCTGTGTTTTTATATCGAATATAAAAGTTTATATTTTTTATTATTGCAATTTTATAACCAAATTAAAACGAATTTGATCATTGAATATTAATGACAACATTTATTTTTTTGTACTAGTTATATTAATATTAAGAAAATAACAAAATGATAAGTACTATAATTTGTTCTGTTGCCTAACCTATTAGACATATTTGTGTAAGGCCTAACCAAAATATCAAATTTAACATAGACTTTATATAGACATCAAAATAACAACAAGCTTTACTATTAAAAAGTAACTGAGCAAATATATTATTATACAGGGTGATTTATTAATATTGCAAAAATAATAAAAAAAACTTATTTTGCGAAAACGTTACATTTTTTTACATTACAATTATTCCCAATATTAAAAAAAAAACTTATTTTGTTTTGTTTTTAAACTTTGTGATTGATATATTTAGATTTAATTTATTTATTCCAGTGGCGTCCCGGAGGCATCTAGGCTGTTATTTTTAGGAAGGAATATGACACGCCAGTTCTTTTTATTTGTTCCAGATAAAACAATTAAAAATTAAACTGTCTTGCCTCTTTACTGATTTTCTCATCTCGCTTTGTTTTTGAGAAAAACAAAGTAAGAAATAACCACATGCTTAAAATATAGGAATAAAATTGTAATATAAAAATAAATCGTTAGTTTTTTAAAAAATTGCAATATTCGGTATTTTGGAAACGAAGTTTCCGGAACCTAGTGTTTTCTTATTTTCATGCAAGGAATTTTGTGCTAATTTTTTTCGCAATATTAATGAATTACCCTATAGATAACAATTAAGTAACAAAATTAAGTAGGTACTTGGTACCTAGATATAACATAAAATTACCTATTCATTGGTTTTAACAACAATATATTACATTTCAATTATACAGGGTGTCCAGAAAATATTGCGAGAAAATTTAACAGTGGATTCTTTGGTAAAAAATAAGGTTTTTTCATTTAAAGTTATGCTCTAAGGGTTTTTGTTTCTAAGTTACAGGGTGTTAAAATTTTTTAATTTTTATTATTATCACTTTCAAACACCAAGTAGACAGTAGCGTGCCGTATAGGGGGCCAGGGGGGGCGGCGGCCCCCCCCCGCCCTTCTGTACAATTGCGCATTTGGCGCCCTAATTAGTTGACAATTTTGTATCAAATAAAAAAATGTTGTTTTTAAGAAAGTTCGCCCCCTCCGCCCTTTGACCCACGGCACGCTACTGCAAGTAGAAGATAAGAAGCCAAATTTTTGTCTATTTTTTATTTGGTAATGTCTTATTCTGCCATTTTCTCAGACTGGAGCATGCCATACTCAATAATATTCCTGTTACATTAATTACATTATTTGAACTAGGAAAAATTGATATTTAGAAAAGGTTTAATTAAGGAAAAACAAAAAGATAAAAAGAAACAATAAATAATAAAAAAAATAGTGTAGTGTAGTACCTTCTTTTTATTTATAAAACTCGTAAACCATAACTTTAACTATTATTTGTTACCAAGGAATCCATTAATACATTTTCTCCCAACATTTCCGGAAAACAATGTATTTAAAAAAATATTTGCACCTATAATAAAATGGAAGACTTTGTTTTTCAAAGATAAATACATATAAAATGTAATATTCCTAATAAAAGTAATTTTTAAATAAATTTAATAAATAATGCGACTAACAGTTAAATAAAACAAACATTTTCAATATCTACGTTCAGTTATTGTTCCGTTTTTAAGATTCTCTATGGACCCTGACAGATCTGTAAGGTGTATTGTACAAGGCACCATTTTTTCTAGCCTTCTAGCTATCGGCGGAATAAATAAATTCGGCTCCAGGTACTTTTGTTTAATGTTGAAAATTTTGGCAAAAATAATGCTGCTTAAATAGCCCACCAAAAGTGTACAGACTAGGCCGAAAACGCCGTTGTATAGATAGGATACTCTGTACAGCCAAAAATAATCGCTAAAATAATGTTTTTATTAAATTTGTTTGTTATTTTTTGTTTTTACCTTTCATTGACGGCGGGTGTAGAGGTACTATTTAGCGATATAAAATTCTCACAACCATCAGTCCTTGTTGGTAAAAATGGTGGTGGTGGTTTTGGCCCAAACGCCATCCATAACCCTATACCCATACCGCTTACCAGCCCAGTTATGGAACCCTAAATAAAACGGTTAAAATAAACACTACCATACAAAAAAATTACATTACCATTTCGTTTGCCGTCGGAGTAAACATTCCCAGAGAGAAAAGCCCCAAAAGTGGCCCACCGATGACGCCAAATATCGTAAGAGAAGCCTGTAAAACTCCCCCCAAAAATTGCGCTAAAAATGCCATAGCCAGACAAAGTAGACCATATCCTAGTGCGATTGTTTTGGTATGGGAGCTGGCATTTTCTTCTGACAACGGCCGTTTCATGTAATACTTATATGCAGGCTAAAAATAAACTAATGTTGTAGACAAGGTAACTTTTCTGAAAAATTAATTTTTCAAGATTATCCATGTCAACTAAAGGTCTCTTAAAATTAAGACTAACTTTAACCGTATGTAGTTTTGTTATTGTTTGTCCAATTTAAATTTTTTTTTATCAAATGCTAGATAATTTTATCCACTCTACACGGTGTGCCTGAACAAAGTTTAAGTCACATAAAAATACCGCCAAAAACTGATTGCAGTTTCTTGTTCGGGACTCTTTGGTGACTTAAAAATGATATTTACCAAAATCCTAGCTGAAAATTTTTTGAAAATTCATGATTTTTTGTAAAATATTTGTTTATCTCAAAGTTTACCTTTGGCAGAGTACAAATTTGTACACCGATTTTTATAAAATTGAAGTATATTATTGAGGAGACCAAGAGAATACTTTTTAATACTGTTCACATCATTTGATATATACACAGTTAGCCAAAAATCGCTTATTTTTAATAAAGCAAAAGCGTAAATTCATGGTTTTGGCATAACAAGCAAAAAAGATTTATCACCAATTTTTTTAGATATTTCTACGTTTATTAGGTTACAAAATGGCATTTTTATTAACCTTTTATAAGAAAAATGGATTTTAAAAAAAATTAATTTAGGCTTTTTAGTAGTTTTCAATTTTGAACGAAAAAAGTTTTTTGATCGGTGATTTAAAAACGAATTTGCCAAAATTCTAACTGCTTTTTTTTAAATTTATAAAAAATTATTTTTTTAAAATTATTTCTATATTTGTACACCGATTTTTATTGGAGTATATTGTTAACACGACTTAAAGAATACTGTTTTCATACTGAGCACATCATTACAGGGCTAGCCAAAAATCATTTTTTTATATAGTAAAAAGCATAATGCACAAAAAAGATTTATCTCCAAAAAATGTTAGATATTTTTATTGTATAACACCGCTTTGAGTTTACACTTTTGTGTTTTGCAGGTTACTAAATTTAATGTTGACAACTTGTTAGAAATAAATGAATTAAAAATATAGTTTGTATTTTTAAATAAAATTTAAGTTGTAAGAAGTCACCAGAAACAAAAGCCTAAATTAAACAATATTTTAAATATTCTCTAAGCGTTATTTTATTTAATTTTATTCAAAATCAATTTTCCTTATAAAGGGTTAATAAGAATAAGGGTCTGATAAACAAAAAAATATCTAAAAAAATAAGTATATATCTTTTTTGCGTGTTATTCCAAAATCATGAATTTACGCTTTTGCTTTATTAAAAGAAGCGATTTTTGGCTAACCCTGTATATATCAAATAATGTGCACAGTATCTCCAAGTCTCCTTAATAATATACTCCAATATTATAAAAATCGGCGTACAAATGTGTACTCTGTCAAAGGTAGACTTTAAGATAAACAAAAATTTTAAAAAAGTCATGCATTCTAAAAGAGGAGTAGCTAGGATTTTGGTAAATATCATGATTAAGTCACCAAAGGTTCCCGAACAAAAAACTGCAATCAGTTTTTGGCGGTATTTTTATGTGACTTAATATGCCCTACCTATTACTAATTTTTTGAGATTTTTCAAAAAATATAAAGTCGTGTCATTTTAAGTTCTCTTCAAATTAAGACCAATTTTAAATATAATTATATTAAATGTTGGATAATTTTGTCCACTTTAAGAAAATGTACATATCTTAGTAGGCTCCAGTACTAATTTTTAGAGATAAAATATGAAATCGTGTCAATTTTAATTTTCTTGATAAGAAAAATCAGGGTCATAACCTTTACATAATCTTCAATGGTAACAGCAGCTAAACTGTTCACAGCTGCAGAAACAGTGGACAAAGATGCACTAAAAATTCCAGCAACAAATAAACCTGATAGTCCAGGTATATGACCCATGGAATGAACCACATAATAGGGCATCAACTACAAAGAAAAAAATTATACAACTTTTTATAAAAACTCAAGGCAGTAAACGTACTTGATCAGCACTGGATATGACACCAGATTTAACAGGATCACAGTTAAAATATCTGGAGTAAATAGCCAGACCAGAAAACGAGGTGCTCAAACTGAGAGCTGTGAGTATGGGCCAATTCAACCAAAGCGCTTTCTGGGCGGTTTTTAGGTCTTTAACCGTCAAATATCTCTGGACCTGGGTCTGATTCACCGCATACAGAGACAAAAAAGTTATTCCACCGCCCAGTATAAGCGAGAGCCATGTGTGACGAATCGTCGGGTCAGGATCAAAACTGAAATATTAATACAAATAAATATAATACTTTAAAGTATAATCTTTAAACCAATTCCCTAAAATTAAAGCATTCTCAGTTGTGTTGTCTACGTACTATTCGCGTGCATTTGTTATGTTCTAGGGAATTGCTAAAATGAATATACTATAGTTTGTTTTTTAAGTAATTTTTACTTGAAAAGCTCAGTACGGTTATTTTCGGAAGCGATTCTCCAAATTTCAGCCAAACTGCCTTTATCAATCCACGCGGAAATAATCACACTGAATACGGCAGCAAACATGAGTATGGATTGAAACACGTCCGTCATTAAAACGGCCTTCATACCGCCTATTGTCGAGTAAAAAGTGCACACCAAACCTGAATTAATTATAAATTAGTTCACTTCAATTAAACATTTCACTACTTTTAGGTTTGTGATGTGGAATGAGAAAATCGCCTTAACTTACCCACAGATAAAATAGCGGTAGTTTTATTAATTCCCGTTAGAGCCTCTAAAGCCAAAGATGGGGCATATAAAACCACCCCCATGTAGAGAATCATTTGTAAGCTGTATGATAAAGATGCTGCCGTTCTCGAAAACTTTCCAAACCTTCTTTCCAGATACTAAAACAAATTTTACTATTTAAAATAATTTTTAATTTTATTTTCTTAATGCGGCGGAGAGTGGGCATCTTGTAAACATAACTAAACTTAAGTTATAAAATCAGCTGTCAAAAATAGTGCCTTTAGTTTAGGAACTTCCATAATTAGTGAAATAATAATGAAACGGACTGGGAGACATCAAGGAATATATATATATATATATATATATATACTTCCACACATTAAAAAGTGATATCAGAACAGTCATATTCCGTAATAGGAGTAGAAAAATTAAAATTAGATACTTACTTCGTACGCACTGGTAGCTTGCAATTTAAAAAACACCGGTAAATATAAGTATGCGGCAACAGGTGTAAACATTGCATAGGAAAAATTTATGACGATGAATTGTATGCCAAAACTGTAATTTTCGCTGGAAACTCCTAATAAGGTAATGGCGGACATAAAGGATGCCATCAGTGAAAAGGCCACTGGCCCTATTGACATGTTTTTGTCTGCCAATAAATATTCCTGTAACAAAATAGAAAACATGTTTTTATTTTTTTATTAGTTCATAGTTTTATTATTATTTTGCCATTGTTTCGCCTATTTAAAATCATGAAGTAAGTACCTACTATAAAAAATCAAATATAAAAAAAATCCACCCAACAAGACGGAAACCTAAAAATTTAAAAATACCCTTAAAGTTCATAGTCTGCATGAAGTTAAATTTTAATTAAATTAAAATATACTTCCTGTTTTAAAATTAAATTTATTTTGGAAATTAAATCAGTAAATTAATATTCTACAGGAAACCAAAATTACAATTTTTATTTGATAGTATAAAGAGCTCTTCTCTGTCTAGACAGCTAATTCATTTAAATTTAAATTATATAGTAGGTATAGGGTATTTATTTTTAAACTGATAATAATAATAATAATAATAAAAATAATAATTAAGAAATTGTGAAATTAAAAATGCAATAAAATATTTATATTTTATTGCATTTTAAATTTCACAATTTCTTAATTATTATTATTATTATCAGTTTAAAAATAAATACCCTACACCTACTTAATCAACAATACAATAATTATTATTGCATAAATTAAATTGTTCTAATCACTCTTTAACTTATAAATTAAATTACAATGCATATATATATATATATATATTAAAGAAATAGCAAAAAAATTATTATGTAAGTATACTTAGCAAGTCAATATACATACACCTGTTAGCAAGTATTACTTACTTGCATTGTTTTTTGCTTTCCCCCGGATAACCTGTAGTAAATTCCTATCGCAGAGGATACCATTAGCACCAAAACTACCACCACATAATCCCATGTCCCAAAATGTACCACAAACGCCATTTTTTGTGTTCTAATGCTCCATCTAAAATAATATGTTTTATTAAATTTTCTAGCCAATTATAGTTTGTAGCCTTGCTAAATAGTATACTATAGCTACTACTGGATAATACTGATAAACAACCTTATTACTGTTATACTAAAAAAATATAAAATAATATACAGGGCGATCTGATAATGCCAAACTAACTCAAACAATTTATCTATAGATACTATAGTAGTATAAAAAGACACATATAAACCCTCTCCCTGTTTTTTTGCCCTGGAAATTGACTAAAAAATTGGAGAAACTTAAAAAAAAATTCCAGGGATACCCTAACTTTTGGTTCATCGGATAGTACTCTAGATGGGGTAAAAATCCCATATGAACCTAGGTCCATATGGGATTTTTACCCCATCTAGAGTAGCTACTCTCGTTTTTTTTGGATGCTTGGGTGGGGTTGGTTAGTTTTAATTTTATTTACATATGAAGGGGTAAGAAGCAAAAGGGTACAAGTACATTTTAGCATGAAAATAATTAAGTGCAGAATTGGGTAGTTTTGAGTCCAATTTTTTTAAATATTTTCTCACAACGTGAAAATTGTACGAGTCCTGCATGTTGATTAATGCAAACATTGCTCACACACAACAAGTAACCAGATTTTTGTATAGCAAAAACTTTAGCTATTAACTCCACTTCTCTTTTTTGCACTTGTACCCTTTTGCTTCTTACCCCTACATATATATTATTATTTATTATTGTGGACTATTCTAAAACCTGAACAAATTTTCAACGTTTTCTTTTTGTGAATAATAGTGTCCCTGAACACCAATAAAAAATTAATAAATTAAACAAAAAAAAAAAATTCTTATTAAAAAAAATAGTTAAAATCATTTCCATGATTTCAAAATTTGTAGAATTGGCAACAGTTTTTTTTGTTTTTTTTTATTTTGAAAAATACTAAAATCAAAATTTTGTTCGAAAATCGAAAAAAGTAAGTCATAAACAATTTTGAATTTTTTTACTTATTTTTAGAAAAAAGTGCATAAAAAAACAAACAAAAAATTATATGTTAGTTTTTAAAAAAAGTTACAGGCATTCAAAAGTAAATTGTGCAATTTAAAAAAAATCTCGTGATTCGTGAACTAGTAAATACTTTTTGTTTAATTCAGAAATGCTTTTCTCAATGGGCCCAAAATGAGAAAAAAATATATACCTATAGGTACCCTTAATTTTTATTTTATAGCAAATTGAAATAATGAAATGTTGCTTAGAAATAAAAGTTATATCTAAGTTTAAATCCATACCTTCCTATTATAAAATTCTTGATATTTAATAAACGACACTAAAAAAATACTATACTATAGTATACTATCATTGAGTAAGATGTTTCCTTAGTCAATGATACTATACTATAGCTATATACGTATAATATACATTGTATATACATTAGACTGGGCCAAAAAAATCGACTATTTTTTTTTGTAAATTATATCGAAAATATTGTTTGGGGTAACAAAAAAAAATTATGGTTTAACAAATTTGGCTTAAGAATATTTTTTGAAGTAAATTGAATGCTTTAAAAAAAAGGTTTTATTGGAATTTGATCTTTTAACTTTGTAATTTTGTAATTCATGTAAAAATCAGTACCCGGAAATCAAATTCTATACAAAAAAAGTCTTTTATCATTTTTGGCTAAATTCACTCAATTAAAAGTTATTCAAGGTTAAATTTGAAGTCAAGCGAAATTTTACCCTTGAATAACTTTTAATTGAGTGAATTTAGCCAAAAATGTTAAGAGGCTTTTTTTGTAAAGCATTTGATTTCCCATAAGAATATTTATCGGTTTTTTATGGATACTGATTTTTACATGAATTACAAAATTCCAATTTAAAAGATCAAAATGTAAAACTATACCAATTTTTAAGGCATGATTTTAAGGAAATGGTTCATCTGACAGAAAATTTCACTTTAACCTTTTTTGTAGAGAATTTAATTTTCTTAAAAAAACATTTTCGAGTCAAACTCAATGGTTTGGGAGTTCTGAGACAAAAACTTGCTGAGAAAAAAAAATTAAAATTGCGATGATAGACCTCTTAATATTAATATTATGGACTCAAACTTTCACAATAATTTTTTTTGTCACCCCAAACCATATTTTTGATAGGTATAGGTACTTTTCAAAAAAAAAATAGGTTTTTTTTGGCCCAGTCTAATATATACCCAGCAAACACAACCGTAAAGGTTCTGTAATGGCCCTTTAAACGCGTGCCTTTAATAAACTAAAGGCCCTATAAAGGCTGACTTTAATGGACCTCTACATATTATGTCGCGTTCACCTTTTATGGGCATGTGACGGCAGTCGATAAAGACACTTACAAGAACCGGTAAAGGTTCCGATATGGCAGGTTAAAGGTACAAATGTGGCGAGCTAAAGGTTCTTATATGTGGTGTTAAAGATTCTATAGTGGTTAGTTAAATATTATTTAATGGATAAGTAAAGTACCTATTATGTCGGATTAAATGTGGTACCTATATATTTACTAGGTACGGATATTCCATGATAATTAAAATATTTTATCCCGACCGATTTTTGACGGTAGGGATAAAAATTCCCAAATATCGTGTAATATCCGACCTAATAAATATATACCTACCAAATTTAATCCACCATAATAGATAGGGACTTTACTATATTACAAAAATTTCGTTATTATGTAATTCCATTAATGCCCCTAAAACTTTCAAAAAATTAAAAAATACAAAGTGTTTAATGTGTTATAAAATACTTAACAAATATTTAAATAAAAAAAAAACTTAACAAATAGGTATTATAATATAAAATCAAATTTCAACAGTTTCCATTTCTAAGGAATCGAATGAATTAAATTGAACACCAAAACAAATTAAGTAGATAAATCCAGTCTCTAGTCCAGTCTTTAGCACAATGGATATATATGGCTAAATCACATGCATAAGAGATCTCTATTATATTGCTAAATCATTGACGACTGCAGTGCACTGTAGGAATGGTCTTATAATGGGATTCTAATTTGCAAGTTTTTCTAGAAAAAAGCTTCGTTTTGAATAGAGATAATTAAATAGGCTTAAATATTCAAAACATGGTGCGCTAAAAGAAGATTTAAAATTTTAAAATACTTCACATGAAATAGCTATTTCCTAGGTTATTAAATACCTAGTACGACATTAATGTAAAAATTGTACAGTAAAAATACTTACTTGAAAAAGGTACTACCTAGGTAGTTGTTTAGTTCATTAATAATTAATTATAAAATACACCTATTAGATAATTAATTAATATATCTCAAAACCTATATTATTTTTCTATATGCATATGCATAATACCACTAACATGAGGCAATTCATTAGTAAATATGGTGTAAAGCAAAGGAAAACATTTGGCACTGTAATGGTGTGTTACAGTTCCATTAACTTGATACTTATAATTGCCATATGTGGGCCTTTAATGTTAAATTATACATATCATTGCCTGAAAAGGGCCATTGCAAGACCTTACCACGACAGCCTTTGGTCTAAATTGACATTTATTAACGAAAAATTCCTGTAGAGGCCCAGTACAAGAACAGCTTGGGTTAAAAATGCCATTATTTAACCATTAAACGCTGTAATGGGCCATTACATTACCAGACTTATGTGTTTGCTGGGTATACATACATACATACAGAAATAGCTATAGTTAATTAATACAAATTTAATATATTACATTGGTCCATTTTTTACTGTACAAAGTTTTCTCAAACTCAATAGTTCAATTAATCTTAATTTAACAGTTGAAATTTAATTCGTGTAAAACAATTGTTGTTTAAAGTAATATTTCAACAAAACGTTTATGAAATATATCAGCTTCCACTCATAAAACAATAAATTATACTTGTATAAACATTACTTAAATTCAAATATCGATCGATATTAATACAAAAACCGATACCTAAATATTTTTTCAAAGTGCGTGTAAACTTTTAAAAATAATAAATTTTATATTTTACCTAGTTTAACAGATTTGACACAAAAACAATACTATTCAGTTGAAAATATATTATACCTAGGTACTTATTCATAATTATTACAGGGGCAATTAATTAATTAATTTAAATTACTAGACAATGTAATTAAAACATTGTAAATTAGATTAAACTACAATTCATTTATTATATTTATTTTACACGTTAAGGCAAATAATTTTATTGGATTTTTTTATTTAATAAACTCCGGTTATATAATTTATTAGGTAAATATAATAAAATCATGCAAATTTGTACTGTAAAATTTGGAATTTTTAAATAACCCGCTAATAAAATTGAGGTTAGTGCAACATGCAAAAAAAGTTGCCCTTTTTCTGTAGATAAGTAGGCCGTTGAATACAATCTAATCGATATTTTATTTATAGGTTAATTGAATACTTACTCAGTTATAAGCACTGAACTATATCAGTGGTTATAAGGCAGCATTTGCGATCAAAAACACAACGCGAATGAAAGTATTGTTATTTCGTTTATACATATTTCGGGAGCAGCTCGTGACACCCAAACACGAGAGATCTAAACTCGATGGGTCTAAAATTTAAAAGCGCGGTGGGTCTAAAATGTGTGGCAACGTCGCACTTCAAATAAGGTTTGGTTCACATTTTTCTTAAATGAAATGTAATTTTTCGGTCGGTTTAGACCTCAAGAGTTGCTCCCCTCTGATATAACCAACAAAATTTACAAAGTTACTGGTGCCATCATAAAGGTACATTGATAATATCAATTTGATATTGTTATTTATATACCAAAAAGCTTTATAACAATAACAAATGATCATAGATATATGTATGCAAGTGATGTTGTTTTCTATGGTTGTATAGTAAATTTAAAAGTAAACTACGTACACGTCATCAATAAAACAAAAATTTTACGCATTGGTACCAACACTAAATGACTAAATCGGAGTCTGTAATTGAATATTTGAATGCATTTTAACCAAATTAAGTTGGCAACAATTGTGATGTTGTCATGTTTACATTC